ATATAGATAGATATAGATATAGATATAGATATAGATATAGATATAGATAGATAGATATAGATATAGATATAGATATAGATAGATATAGATAGATCTAGATAGATAGATAGATCTATCTATATATAATTTGAGAAATGGGCTTGTAAAATAAAATGTTTTCAAAGTAGGACTAGAACATTATTTTTAAGAAATTAACCTAAACACGTTTAGCTAAAAATGAATGCAAACATTTTTTTTTAAATAAAGGAAAATTATATTTTCTCCTATAATCTTGGAATCAATCTGTGAGGGGGGAAAAATACTCACACCACAGTATTTCACTTTCATAACTTTTTTGTTGTTGTTGATTTTTAAACAAATGTGCAAGCAGATTCAATCCACACCTCCTGTACAAAACAGAGGAAAAAAGAGAAGCTGATTTTAAAAGAACATGTTTTGACAATCATGATCTTTCCTGGAGATTTCTGTTTCTTCCCTCCCGGGTTCCTTAAGGCACACAAAGAAAATCACCTGCTGAACATGCAGGGCAAAAGGAAAGAAAAAGACAAAGCAGTCATGTTTTGCGAACCTCTGCCGCCATCTAGTGGACAAACCGTGACAGTTTGGCTATTTCACTACATTCATTAAAAGTCTCGAGTTTAAATGGGGCATTATTTGGAAAATAAATAAATCTGTTGCCCCTCTTTAGTTATGAGAAGTCATGTGTCTGGACAGGTGGTGCCTCTCTCTGAAATACTCGTGGCAGATCGGGCAGGTGAGTTTCTCCTCCCTTCTGCGCCTCACCTGAGACTCTGCCGCGAACTCCTTCTTGTGATGGGAGCGCATATGGAACACCAGGTCAGAGGTCATGCGGAAGGACAGATTGCATTTGGCGCACCAGTTCTGCACCGACACGCCGAATGAGGTGAAAGTCGGCGGGAGGATGGTGAGGGAAGATGTGGTTTGGAGCTGAGCGCCAAAGTTCCTGGACCAGTGCTCTGGTGCGTAATGGAAAGCGTTGCTTAATGGCACCGAGGAGCCTAATGCGTGCACGTCAGCGCTCAGGATGCTGGTCGCCATCAGATTGTTGTATCCCAGAACAGTCCTGCTCGTGAAGCCTTCAGCTAACTCATCCAGGCGGCTAGAGGGGGCTGTCGGAGCGCTGATGATGTGGGCCTGAGGCTCCACTGGGGCAGTTCTTTTACTCGGTTTGCAAAAGGCGCTTCTCTGCGCGCCTTGGCTGTGTGACAGAACCACAGAAAATGCGCTGCTGCTGCTCGACAGCACTCCAGACCCCTCCCCTGTCTCCAAATGCGTATCCACCTCTGTGCCGTGCGTAAAAGTCCCCCTGACTTCCCCACCTTCAGCCAGATCAGCACTTCTGCGTCCCGCATGAACCGCTTTGACCCTTTCAGCTTTCATTTTCCCCGAGGAGGAGGAGACTCCTGGCGCCTGCTCGTGCTCCTTCACTGCTTGTGCTTCATCATTTGAAATGCTGTTTTTTTCCAGCAGGACGCTTTTACGCCACTTGGGGAGCAGAGTGTCCTCGCTTTTCCTCTTTCTGGGGGAACCCGCTGCGTCCTCATCGGCGCCAGATGTTTTCTGCTCCAAATCTCTGGCGATGTTGTGGAAATCTGTCACTCTGTGTTGCCTCTTAACGTCCACGTGCTCGTGCACCTCGCGGCTCCAGGTGTCGCATTTCGCTTGAGTGCACAGAAATCTGCAGTGTGCCACGAAGGGGTTTTCATTTTTGAACACCTGGTGGCACCGGCCACATTTGAATTCTGCAAGAGATGACAAACACGTGCTTTCATTATTTCTCTCAACTCATTATGACGCTTAAATGGACATGTTGAGGTTCAGTTTGGGGATGGAGGCGCAGCAGCTGCGTCTCACCTTCCAGCCCTCTGAGCGTGTCTGTGAAGCCCAGTAGGTGAGACAGCTCCTGGTCGTACCACACCAGCAGCTCTTCCTCCGGCCGGATGTTCCGGGTGGTCCTCACATACAGCTGACCCGCCTTCAGAAAGGCCTCCGTGTTCTGCTCCTCTCCGTTGCGCGCCGCCTGCACGAGCCGCAACCAGGACAGCACCAAAGCGGAGTTGCGCAAAGCCTCTGGGTCGACCTGGCGCAAAGTACAGACATTTTACTGCAGTTCTCAAAGTTTGAGAATTAAATTTAAGAATTTCTTATGAATTGCTCCATCCAGACGACACTTTTTAGATCTTTTTTTTTAAAGGTGTTTATGTTTGATAATCCATCACCAGCTTCAACGCAGATAAACATAGAATAAAAAAAATGAGACGTCAGTTTTCTGACCTTTGACCTCAGATTAATAGCATGACTCACCCTGAACATGTAGAATTTGGATGTCTTGTCGCAGCACTTCTGAGCTATGAAGGCGATGGTGTCATAGAAAGTGTTTTGGAGCACGCACGGCCCAAAGCACGTGCCTGCAGGTATGCTGCGCGTCACAACCACGCTCGTGTTGAGATCTGTTGGATGCTGGAGGAATTTACAGTCCTCCGTCCACATAGACCGAGGCAGGAGGCAGTGGTCCATCGTGAGGCTGGAAGAGATCAATCGTTTTAACACAAATACAATAATCCATTGGTTTTTAAAACCAGTAAGTAAAGTAGCATCTCATTGGTTTTAATTCAACTAAAACAGCTTTAATGGCAAGTCTCATGAAGAAGTCGTTCATGATGTTAAAGATTTCAATAGAATTTCTTCTTTTTGTATTAAATAAAAAATTTTAAAAAAACTACAAATCCCACAGGGAAGTGGGCGCAGGCGGTGTTGGAGCAAAATCATTTGTAACGTTCTTTGTCTCAGTTTTTCACTCCGTTACTCCTTTTGTCTCCGCATCTGGCGCGGAGTCCAACTGCCTCCTCTCCGTGCGCACAAGTTCAGCACGATTTGGCCATTTGTGAATAACAATCAGGCATGAATGATGGAGCTGTTTGCTCTAAGATCCAAAAAAGTGACGGAAGTGCTGGCTCGTAAATTTAAATGGAGGGGCTAAAAAAATTAAATAAAAGTGAACAGTTGTCGATTTATGGAACAAAATCACCAGAAAATGACAGCTTTCCCAGCGCGTTGGTGTCTCTGTGGAGATGCTAAAGATGAGGAGGGGGGTGATGAAGGATGCTGCATGTGGACTCACCCTCCGGACATGGAGCAGGGTGGTGGTTCCGTGTGGCAGCAGGTGCAGTGGACCTCAGAGGCGAAGCTCTCTCCAAAGACTCTCCTCTCCGTCTGAATCCTCCTGCGCACTGTCGTCTCTCTCCTCTCCCACCTCCACTTATCCCTCTCCTTACTGAGCCAACTCCAGCCCGGAGCGTGGCGCACTGATCCGTGCGCGCTCACGCACGCTACAAATTGTCCTTTGTCATTATTCACAGCTCTGTGGGTGGGTGGGTGTGTGTGTGTTGGAGGGGGAGATAAATAATAGAAGTGATAATCTGATATAATGCAGCAGATCATTGCTTTGTGTTGACGCATGCGCACTGAGTGTCATCAGAGTCAGAGTTTCTTTATTGTCATTCGCACCACATGTGGTACATGTGGTGGAGCGAAATTATGTACACAGGGTCCCAGTTACATCCAACAATAAAAATGTATAAGAAAAACAGTAATAACATCTAAGATATGAACTAAGAAAAACATCAACTAAATATACACTAAGCACTCATAACATAAAACATTGAACATCAGCACAAACATGAACATGAGTCTGTGAGCAGATGTGCACGCATGAACACATCAACATTGAAACAGATCAGCAGCAACATGAAACAGATCAGCAGCAACATGATATGGGTTTTCACAGTGATTATTCTAGTTAGAGATTCATGAGTCTAACAGCCTCAGGGTAGAAGCTGTTCCTCAGTCTAGTGGTTCTACACTTAATGCTCCTCAACCTCCTTCCTGAGGGGAGTGGGGCAAAAAGTGTGTGTGCTGGGTGAGTGGGGTCCTTCATGATGCAGGTGGCCCTCTTCCTGCATCTGGAGGTGTAGATGTCTGTGATGGTGGGGAGGCTGATTCCAACAGATTTCTGTGCAGCCTTCACCACTCTCTGCAAAGCTTTTCTTTCTGTAGCTGTGCAGCCTACATGCCACACATTGATGCTCGAGCACAGGATGCTCTCCACTGCACACCTGTAGAAGGAGGTGAGGACTGAGCTTCCCAGACCAGCTCGCCTCAGCCGTCTGAGGAAGTAGAGTCTCTGATGAGCTTTTTTGATCAGGCTGGTGGTGTTGTTGCTCCAGCTGAGGTTGTCATTCATGTGTACACCCAAGTACTTGTAGCTGGAGACCACTTCCACCGCAGATCCTCTTATGTTCAGGGGGGTGTAGGTGTTTTTGTTCCTTCTGAAGTCCACAATCATCTCCTTTGTCTTCTTCACATTGATGTGAAGGTTATTCTCTCTGCACCAGCTCTCCAGGTGTTCCACCTCTTGCCTGTAGCTGGACTCATCATTGTTTGTGATGCAGCCCACCACCGCTGTATCATCTGCAAACTTTACAATGTGACAGCCTGGATGGGTAGCTGCACAATCATACGTGAGCAGAGTAAACAGGAGGGGGCTCAACACACATCCCTGAGGAGAGCCAGTGCTGAGGGTTATGGTGGAGGAGGAGAGGTTGTGGATCCTCACTAACTGTGGTCTGTTTGTTAAAAAGTCTAGTACCCAGTTGCAGATAGAGGGGCTTAGTCCTAGTGTGGATAGTTTGTCCATCAGGGTTTGGGGGATCATGGTGTTGAAGGTGGATGTGAAGTCCACAAAGAGCATAAGGACGTAAGAGTTTTTCTGCTCCAGGTGGTTGAGCGCAGTGTGGACCACAGAGGAGATTGCATCCTCTGTTGATCGGTTCTCACGGTATGCATACTGATGAGGGTCCTCGTTGATGTTGATGGTTGTTTTGATGTGAGTCATGACCAGTTTTTCAAAGCATTTAGCGACTATCGGGGTGAGGGCCACTGGCCGATAGTCATTCAGACCAGTCACTGTAGAGCTTTTTGGGACTGGGATGATGGTGGCAGTCTTCAGGCAGGTGGGAACTGTCTCCAGGGTAAGTGAGGTGTTAAAGATGTCTGCCAGCACCTCACAGAGCTGATCAGCACATTCCTTCAACACTTTTCTGGGGATGTTGTCTGGGCCAGTTGCCTTGTGCGGATTAATCATGTCTTGTGATAAGATTTTGTGTGAACTCAGAAAAACAAAGCTTGATCTCACACAAATGAGTTGTTCCATCTTTTTTTCTTGTGTGTGTGTGTGTGTGTCCCCAAAATTGTTCATTTGGACAACTCGTTTTTTGTGGGGTTTTTTTTTTTGTTTTTTTTAAGTCCACTAAAGTAAAGTTGACTGTTACAGGACATGATGCTGGTGGGTCAGGGCTTGCCACTGGGAAAATGCATTATTCATGCTTCTGTCTAATGAGCATTTAATGATTATTCTGCATCAAAGACTGGGTTATGGGTAAATGTTTTACTGGTTTCTGAGCCAAGTTGTTATCATGAGAAAGTGGGAACTCGTAAAAAGCCTTGAAGGAGGACTCTTTGGGAGCTTTCCAAATCAAATTATAATAATTTTATGTGCACTGGTGAAAGAACGACTGTCATTGTTAAAATAAACAAAGTTTGATTGGCTGAGTGAACTGTGCAAAAATTTGAAACCACTCCTATTGTTTGTTTCCTGGTGGCACGGTGGCTCAGTTGGTAGAGCTGTTACCTCTCAGTGAGAAGGTCGCCGGATTACATTCTGACCTTTCTGTGTGGAGTTGCATGTTCTCTCCGTGCATGCTTTTCTCTGTGTACTCCGAGTTCATCCCACAGACCAAAAACATACGTTAGGCTAATTGGTAACTTTGTAGGTGAGTGAGAGTTGTTTCTCTGTGTGGCCCTGTGATGGACATTCGACCTGTCTTGGTTGTCTCCCACTTCTTGCACAATGACTGCTGGATATGGGCACCTGTGACCCCTGTGACCTGAAAATGAAGAAGTGGGTAAAGATGATGGATGGATGCATGGATGGATGGATGGATGTTTATTTCCAAGGAGCCAGACTTTCTTGTAATGTTACTCTTGATTTATATTTCTGAAAGGGTCAAAGTTTTTCTTTGGACTTTGGCTGATTTCTGACTCATACATTCCAAAGTGTTTGACTGCTTTCATGTTGGTACTTTATAATATAAAAAGTAGTGGACACCTGGCGGACAGAAGTTTCAAGTCTTAAAAATCCACAGCACATGAAGTCTGAAAGCCATAAAATCAGCAAAGTCCTGACACAAGGTCTAAGAAATGCATCATCCTTCAGATATCGAGTTTTCAGTTTAGCTCTTTGGAATCACTTTGCTGATGCTAAAATGCTACTTGTACATTTCAAACTGTTATCTTTGAGTTTTGCGTTACTGTATTGTGAACAAACTGTGTCTTTGTGAAAGCCTGTTAACAAAACGTATTCAAGACCAATTTAAAAATGTTTCTGCTTGTCTGCGATGTTTGGTTCTTCCTTTTGAGTTTAGGAGCTTTGCATTGCTTGGCTGGTTTATAGGTCAGGTACGGGACCAGTGCCAAAGTTTACAGCAAAGATTTTGCTCAACGATAGTGCTTGAAGTACAATATGGGTTTAAGTTGACTCTTGGCTAATTTGAACTCCATAAAATAGATTGAATTAGCCTCTCTTTTTTTTTTTTTACGGTCAGTTGGCTGTTGTGGGCGTCTTGAACTGGGTTGACTCCAGTGGCAGATGTGCTTCCAATTACTTTCTTTAAAATCTATCCAGTGCTTCATGAGATATTTTGTTAAAAGACAGACCAGCAGTTTTCTGTCCAGATGACCTGACTGAAAATTGTTGGATTGTATACCTGGATTGTTGAGCATGGACTTTGTTGGTTTTGAATCAGTTTGACATGACTGTCGACGAAGAAGAGGGCCGGCAACGGAGGAGGGGCCGTGCCAAAGAGACCATCTATAGCACCAACATAACTGGTTTGTTCCACTTTGGAATAAGCTGTTGGGGGAATATTCAGTTTTGTGTTGTGTGTTTCCTTGACTGATGAAGCCTTCCGGATGGAAGGTGAAACGTTTCAGAAGAAAAAAAAGAAACTATCCAGATGACCTGACTGAAAATTGTTGTAATGTATACCTGGATTATTGAGCATGGACTTTGTTGTTAACAGAGTTGCCTTCAAAGGTTAAGTACTGCCACAATGGTCAATCAGGTCATCTGGACAGTTTCTTTTTTGTGGAAAGACGTTTTGCCCTCTATCCGGAGGTCTTCATCAGTCTGAAGAGTCCCAAGTAAACTGTTTTCCTCACTAAGGGTCCACGAGGGACAGGACAGCCCCCAGAAACCATGTTATCAGCAAACTGGTTGGTCCACTAAAGGAGTGTACTGCTTAGTGAGGAAAACAGTTTACTCTTTAGACTGATGAAGCCCTCTGGATAGAGGGCGAAACGTCTTTCCACAACAAAGAAACTGTCCAGATGACCTGATTGACCATTACTGGATTTTGTACCTGGATGATTGAGCATGAACTTTGACGACTGGCACAATCACTTAGAGCTCAGATGTGTTGGGAATCCATTTTGGCTATCACACCCAGTTTTAGCTCAATTTCTGTCAAGTCGATCGTAACCCTTTTCGTGCTTGCTAAGGTCAGTTTGCTCTGGCGGCCACTATTGAATCAGACTGACGTCAAAAAAATGATTAATTTTTACTAAGAATAAGAGTTTCACTAAAATCCGTCCTGTGGTTTATGACAAATCTGGATCCGTGGAAAATACTCACACAAGCAAAATAAAACATTACATGCATTTAGCCTTTTAATGAGAATAATTCACTACACTTGAACCTAAATAAAAACTTGAATGTGACGGATTCAAAGCAGGGCATTAAGTATGTCTCTGTCTTATAGATGAGCAGACTTTATTTTAATTGAGCATCCAAACTAATTTCTTATGACTTTATTAAAATAGTATCCTGGTCCTTTAATTTGTGCGTAATCCAACCTCCCAACAGGAGAAATCTGACTCCAATTTTTCATGAGTAGGTCTTTTTTTTTCTCTCTTGTGGAAAAGGTGGAGTTTTAGCATTTCTCCTCGGGTGTCGCTCCTCTCCTCCATCCTGCCCTGCTTTCATGCTTCTGCTTTTTTTTTTTCTTTCTTTCTTTTCCCCCTCAGCCGACAGGGAAGAGTTGGAGCCAGACTTCAACCGAACAAGACTCTGATCCACCCACACAGAGGAAGCTGAACACCGAACAACAGAGCAGTCTGTGGAGAAACAGACGGTGACAGAGACATGCGAAGATCTTTGGCTGTTGCAGTGCTGGACTAGAAACCTGGAAAGATGGCGTGCACGCAGGCTCGCGCATTCCTCGCCTTTGCTTTGCTTGGAATTTTCTTTCTCCACGTCTCGGTGGAAGAACAGCAACAGGAGGAGGAGGAGGAGGAGAAGATGTCCTGTCAGGGAGCGTTTGACCTCTACTTTGTTCTGGACAAGTGAGTGTCCGATATTATTTATGGCATACTTTCTGCGCGCTGCGCATTGCCATGCAACCGACCTGGAGACGCGGAGCGCATCAGTCGGACGTCCTGTTGTGGCCTAACAGGGCTTTAGAGAAAAAAACTAGAACAAGAAGCCACTTGTACGGGGAGAAAAAAACATCTGTAGGACTCTATAGTTGAGTTAATAAGGCTAAAACACTTTTAAAATCTAGTTGTTTTTTTTCCCCTAAAGGAACAGCAGGAAAACTGATGACGTTATAAAAACGCTCTTCTAGTTATTTATCATAGCGCTAAACTTATTTGTTGTGTCCAGGAATGCTACACAATGCTGCATTTTAAGTGTGAGTAATATGGGGAATATTCTGAAGCCTGGACTTTATTTTTTCTCTTCTGGTTAAAAGTGGTGAGTCAAACCAACTCAGCTTTACCCACGGGATGTGGGCAGGGCAGCAGGGTAGAGTTTCAGCCTGGTGACGCCTGCGGGTACAGCTGCAGAAAGCTGCCTGAAGCCGGGCTGCTTTAGGTTGCTCGGCCAGGTCATTCCCTTCTAGTATCTTTGTTTGTTCTTGAGACAGACCAAAAATATTACCACCCTTTAGTTTAAATCTTGCAGATAGCTGATAAATCATCTTTGGCAACCTCGATAAGAAGAGAAGCTCATCTAAGATGTAGCCTAAAGCCAATAGAAATGTTCTCTTGCAGCTGAGATTTTATTTAGCTTCTTGATTTAAACATGTCAGCAGACCAGTTGCTCCTCACAGTTCCAGGAACTCGTCTTAAGTGCAGAGGTGACGGGGCCTTCTCTGTAGCAGGACCAAGACTTTGGAACGAGTTGCCTCTGCTTGTCAGACAGGCCCCCTCCCTCTCGGTTTTCAAGTCCCGTTTAAAAACCCACTACTATTCAGTAGCTTTCAACACCAGATGATCTGTGTTTTGAACCTGTACGCTGGTTAGTCGTCATATTTATTATCTGCATCGTTTTTATGTTTTTATTCTTATTTACCTCATTTTGTATTTTGCTTTGTGTGTTGCCTGTTGTTCTGTCTGTACGGCACTTTGGTTGGCCTTGTTGCTGTTTTAAGTGCTCTATAAATAAAATGGTATGGTATGTCTGCAACTTTTCAGAAAGGGTTAGTTAAATATCTGAAGAGGACTGGTTTATTGACTTGTTCCAATTAAAGGAGCACTGTCGGGTTTAGTGACATCTAAAGGCAAAGTTGCAGAGTCCATCCAAACAAACCCCATCATGGCTTCATTCAATGGAAAGAGACCCAGGAAAAAAGTTGTAAGAAAAACTACAGTTTCCTTTTTTGTATAAGAAATACATAATATAGCTCAGTACTTACAGGGTTTGTACCTGTTCAAGAGTCTTTATTATCCCCAAGGGGCAAGTTGTTTCAAACATTCGTACCAGGTAAGACATTGAAGCATTAAAATAACAGTACAGAAATCATCATTGGTGAGAAGCCTGATCAGTACAGTTATGAATTGAGTTTTTCAGTCTGTTTGTTCTACATCTGGGCAGCAGATACCTGTGTCCAGATGGACGCAACCTGAACTCACCATAGAGTGGGTGATCAGGATCTGCCAGAAGCAACCTAGCCTTGTTCACTGACCTCATACCTACAGTGTAGAATGGGTACTAGGTACAAATGTATCTACAGGAGTACTTACAGGGTATCGGATACCTACAGTTTTATACCATGGTACTTATAGGGTACTTATCCCGAATCTACAAGGTAGTACCTGGTACCTACAAGCTACATACCTGCAGGTTACTTAAAGTGTAGGTATTTTACCTGGGGGCTCGAGATAGGGTAGAGACAGCCGACTTGGGACCCGAAAGTCCCAGTTTTGATCCCCAGCCATTCCCGCATGTCGTGGTGTCTCTGGGCAAAACACCTAATCCCTAATTGCTCCCTGGACACCTACATAACTGCCCACTGGGTGTTACTTTCTGGGAAGACACCTGGTACCTCTGGGGTAGGCACAGCGGTAATTTCAGGGTACATACCTGGAACATACAGGGAGTGGGCAAGATTATGAAATGACTTGCTACTTTGAACTTACAGGATACCTTAAGGTTATACACACGGTAACTATAGGTAACATACTTGCTACCTACAAAACATGTACGTAGTGTAGTCTGTGTAGTTGCTTATCTCGCCTACATACCCATTTGTTGCCAAAATGTCAATTACCTGATTTTTCAGAGTACACACATTGTTCTGTTAAATCTGTTTTAAGAACTCCTCATTAGTTCATTTCAAAGCCTCAACAAACACTATAAAGATTTTTATTAGTCATTTGTGTAATCATTTTTGGTCCTGTTAGCCTGCAGTCTCAAATTCTCTACGACGTAGAGCTGCTCAGACACTATAATTAAATGTTGTAATTCCATGGTTTAAGATGCTAGGTGAGATCATGCACATGGACAAAGATTAATGACGTCATGAGACATGATGAGAAAAAGGAAATAAGCAAGAATAGAGTCATGAGGCATACACAAATGTGTGGCTTGTTGCTTCATTTATCTAGAAGAATAAAAAGTTATGTCAAAAAAAAAAAAAAAGTTTTGTGCAGAGATTGTGAGGTGCAGTTAAAAATAACGGGGACATTTTAGGGTAAAAGGCTTGTATGTCCTCAGTTGGGAGCAAGAAGGAGCTAGTTGACACTTTGAGTGACATTTAACTTTGGTTTCAGCACGTTGGATGATCTTTCAGATGTCCGCATTAGCATCTGTCAGTCACTCTTTAGTCTTTACCCTTTGCTTCAAAAAGTTTAGGAGGAGCCTGGGGAGCGTGGCACGTCACGCATGGCCAAGCCTCTGGTGCGCCTCGTGTTTGTTTGACCGGCTGGAGCGGCGAGTTTCAGCAGGCCTTCAGGAAGCAGCTGATCTTTCTCCTCAGACAGGACTGTCTGTGGCTGGTTTGCAGCTCTTAAATGCCATCCGGTGACCTAATCTAATATTTCTGAGACAGAGTGCAGAGCAGAACTGAGCATTAGGGGTGTTTTTGTACAGGGTTCGTCTTTCTCATATGTTTGAACTTGGCTCCACAAAAGACACAAGAAGTGTGTATTTCCCCGGAAAACATTAGAAAATGAAATTGCCACACCTTGCAACTCAACGTCTGACCTGCACTAAATACCAAGCAGCGTTTTTGCTTTCGATGTGGATGACCACACATTGAGTAATGGATGTTGTGTGCTGTCGCCTGCTCCTGAACAGAGGTTTGTTTTCACACTGAGGGCAAACATGAAGCCAGTCTGTTATTGTAACATGAATAAATTTAAAAGATGAAGACTCATTTTTGAGGTTTTAGAATAATAACACTCATTTTATTCCCAGAAATCCACTGAAAATTAGAATTCTAGTGTGTTCAGTTTTGTAAATCTGTTAGGTTCACATGCAAAGTCCAGATAGAATTTATTATTTTAGGGGTTGAATCAGAAACGTGCTAATTTATTTTAATTTAATAAAGTCAAATATCCAAAAACCAAAGCGTAGGTAATATATTAGTATTTGTCTTTAAATCACAGATCATACATGCTTGGATCAATCTTAGAATTAGGACAAAAAGCAGCTTTTTTTTATTATTTACAAGCTTTTAAGCTGTTTTTGTCCTTTGCAATGCTTTTTATTTTCTGCCACCATGAAAGGTGCTTGATCATGTAATTGCCTGTCTGTGTGCTAGTCTGTTAGCAAAATATCTCAAAACGCAGTGGGCATTTTAATGATACTCTCAGGAAGTAATCATTAAATATGTCTACAGGGGATTATCTTTTCAAGTACTCAATTTAAGATGGCTGCCACTGCCAACTGATCTTAGAAAACATCAATAGCCTATAACTCAAATCATTTTGTAAATATTAAGCTAACATTTTGTATGGTAGTAGCTTTGAGTCGTCCCAAACACATACTTCAAGCACTAACACGTTGAGCAACATCTTTGTTTAAAACTTTGGCAGATGATGTGCATTTCTTTTAAAGAATGCTACTGTCTTTAAAACTGTAATGAAATGCATTTTAAGTGTAATTCATCAATCAGCATTTTGTAGACGTTTAGTAAATTTAATTAGATAATTTTCTGCTCTGATATTTTGCATAATGCAGCCTTGGTTTTAGTAATGGGCTTGGATGAACTGAAGTCATTTGGAGAAGTTTTCTTCTTCTTCTTTTAACTTCAGTGTGTTATTCATCCGTCCAACTTTTTTTTTTTTTTTTTTTTTAAACCTGCATTTCCGCACATGATCGTAGTTTGTTGCTGGTGCCTATTGTATTTTTTTTTTTTTTTTTTTTTTTTTTTATATATACTTTAAACCAGTTAAATGAAGGAGCCATCTTGAATCTAGCTCAGGGTTTTACTTTGCTTGACCAGAGCTCTGTCCCTTAAAATCTTTGGCGTTAAAGGTGTTTGCTGTTTTATTCTAGCACACTCCACCCTTTACTGAATGTTGGGCCTGTGTTCCTCTGTTGTTCATGTTGCAGCCTTTTTTTACTCTTGTGAAAACTCAGCCTGTTGTTGGGCTGACCATGCTCCGTGCGACCATCTGTTCCCCCTCAGTCTGTCACGCACACATGCACTGTTACTCGACATATAGTATACACAAAGGCCAGCTGCTTTCTCCATGGTCCCTGCTAGAGGCAGACTGTTACATCTGTCCCTGTCTAACCTCAACCCTCTGGCCCAGCAGCAATTAGCCCCCATTAGCAGCCCCGAGGGAGTGGGTTTCATTAAGAAGACTGGCATGTTCGTAGCAGCGTGCAGCGAGCTAACCAGCAGCTCACAGGCTATAGTAAAGTAATGGAATGTGACCAAATGAGCAGAAACATCTTTGATGGGGGGGAAGAAAAATAACCTTACCTAAAACGTATGTCATGTCTTTTAGTTTTACTCTTATTTCAATATGTCCTATTCAATTACTTATTGGAAGTTCCTCACACTTGGATTTTAGATTTGTTTGAAAATGACAGTTTAGTTTTCATCATTTCCCTCTTTGTTGTGATTTTCAGATCTGGGAGCGTCAAGCATCACTGGAGTGAGATTTACAACTTTGTTAAGCAGGTGGCACAAAAATTTATCAGGTAACAAAAGCAGGACTGCTCGTTCATGTATGGGAATAACTTTTGTTTCCTGCCTTTATCTGTGTTAACATGAAATTAACTTTGTTTCTGCAGCCCCATGCTGAGAATGTCTTTTATTGTCTTCTCCACACAAGGGAAAATCATCATGAAGTTGACTGAGAACAGGTAAGAGCTACAACTTTCTGCTTTCAGTTAGCTTTTTTTTTTTTTGTTTGTTTTGGTATGTATTTACATTATAACACAACTGTCATGGTCTTATAATCCTGAGGAAATAAGTATGATCTCTATTGCTAATAGAACTGCAAAAACTGTAATCGGTGTTTAACAGCTAATATAAATCATATTTAAGGTTGAATTTGAGGCTGACGTTGACAGATCTATATCAGATATTCCCTGGGCTAAAATATTTAGGTCCAACGCAACATTTATTGTTTTCTTTCTACTTTCCTAAGAAAAGAAAAAGAACTCTCTAGTTTAATTTCACTAAGTTGTTCTCCCATTTTCCTTTCAGGGAGGCAATAACTGAAGGCTTAAGGGCTCTAAACAATGTTCAGCCTGGAGGAGACACATATATGAACTTAGGCCTGGAGATGGTAAGACTGGGTTTAAAAAGATTCACTCTCCTCACTGAGGTATAAGAATATATTCTTAAATTTTTCTGCTAAGATTTTATTGATTCCGGTAACTGTAATCTTGACTCGTTAGATACCGTACTTTTCGCTGTTTAAGTCACAACTTTTTGCATAAATTTGCATGCCCTACGACTTATACAGTGTTTTTTTCCATATTTATAACCCAATTTTTGGCTGAGAACTGACAATTTCATTCATTCTGACATGGAAAATGTTGAACACTACCATTTTCAGCTGCTAGAAGGCGTTTGAGTTATATGGCAAGCCAAGTGTCTCATTAATAGGTAAAAGTGGCTATTAATGAGACACTTGGCTTGCCATACTAAGCCACCTTCGTCTCGCTCCAGAATTCCTGGCGCAAACGTCAAATCAGCTGCATTTTGCAGCACTGCCCAGGCAAAATGCAGCCGATTTGACCATTAAAGTGCATTTATTAAGAAAAAATTAAATTGAGGCACACCTTTGCTATAATTTCGAGCAATCATATAATTGTTAATAAAGTGTTAATCTTGTTAAATTCTTGTTAAAGTCCTCCCGTGCACGCTCCCGCAGCCGCCATTCGGCAGCCAATCGATTTTTGGCACAACACCGGCCCACGTTTCCGGGTGGTCAGCGGTGACCCATAACAAACGTGACGCGTCAGCGGTGACTCATAACAGATGCGACTTATACAGCAAAGCGACGTATTTGTTTTTTCCACTTTATTAGACATGTTTGGACTGATGCGACTTATATGGCGATGCGACGTGTACGGCGGAAAGTACGGTAACTGTGAGGTGTGGGTCAACTCCTAAATGACTGCTGCTGCTTTAAAGTGATATGTAAGAGATGAATAAGACAAGAAATCTTGGACAACAAACACTATTCATGTAAAATATATAATGCTTATATAAAAGTTCATCACTTTATTTTATAAACCTAAAAGATAATTTTTTACTGTTAAAAAAAAGAAGCCCTTTTATAAACTGCCAATGCAAGTTTTGCTACTTTTTTTTTGGTTTTCCATTTTAGTTCCTGTTTCTTTAAAACTTCCTTCTCGTTAAACCCATTTTGTTCTGATTTGAAGTGCACAGCAGCTTTTCATTCATTGTACGAGGCTTGTTTATTGCAGCTGCACAGGCATTGCATAAATGGACTACACGGAAAAGGTTTCAGTAAAGTTCAGAGAAGTCCGGTTTACAAAATATTTCAGACGATCCATGGACAGAACGAACCTTGAAGCGTTCCCTCAGTATTAACCTCCTCTATGTTTCTTGAGTTTTATTTTACTATAATTTTGTATTTTATTTTAAGCCTTCCTTGTGTTTGAAACTGGGAAAAGGTTTTTTTTGTTTGTTTGTTTGTTTGTTAAATTAATTTCTTGCATTATGACATCTAAATGTATGTTTCATGTTTTTTTACTGCACGTCTCAGATGTTCACAATAAAATTATAGAATATGTGTGGAGACGTGTGTTCTCTACAAAAATGGTGGGGAAACGTGCAGAAATATTAGTTGGAATTAAATATGGTGATTTAGAAGGTATTGGGAAAAGTGAAGATCAGCAAAAAATACTACACTGTGCTCTTGTTGGATACTTTATCTGATATGTTTCTTTTCGTTGAACCTTACTTGATACTTTCTTCACTCTTGCAGGCTAATGCACAAATATATCAAGAAAACCGAGGTAAGCGGAAACTCCTGCGCATGTTACATTCCAGTACAAGATTTCAAAAAGCTTAAATGATGTTTTTTGCAGGGACAGCCAGTGTTATCATCGCTCTGACTGATGGAGAACTAAACGAGTGGCAGTTTGACACGGCCCAGCGGGAGGTAATGTCACTGTACTCTGGCAGCTTGCCATGATTCAAACCATAAAGGCCCCTGCTGGTTTTTTTATTATTATTATTTATTTGCATTGAAAATGTGTGACTTCAACTCTGCAGGTCTTTTTTTTTTTTTCTTAATTTTTTTGCCCATCTTATGAGTTATCATATTGTCGCTGACTAATGTTCTGCTCATGGACCATGAAAACACGAAAATGTTTCTAGTATTTTATTGCAGTACAAACAAGCAATAAAGAAATACTTAAACACCTTTTTGGATATTTATATTGGCATTGGATGTTTGGTAAATTGTGTAAAACTATCCCCAACTTTTCACATCGGTGCAAAGATTCCATATTTCTTAAGTGTTTTGCAGGATACAAATGGAAGACCATTTAAACAGAATTTTGTTTTTCGGTTTCGTTTTTCTCCTTTAGGCACAAAAGGCCAGGACTTTGGGAGCTACTGTGTATTGTGTTGGGGTTAAAGATTTCAACCAGACTCAAGTAAGAGCTGCAGGAAAATGAAATCTCACATATGCTTTATATAAAAATTCACAATATTATATTTCTGTTTCTAGCTTGCAACTATTGCAGACACCATAGAACATGTGTTTCCTGTAGTCGGAGGCTTCCAAGCCCTCAGGGGAATCATTGACTCGGTATGACACACACACATACGCAGAGTACCGCATGCTCGTCATACACATACTTGCCCACACAGAGAGACCGATTTACCCTTGCAACTTAATTATCTCATATTTTTTATTGTTTGTGGCAGATCATCAAGAAGTCTTGCATTGAGATTTTGGCGGCAGAGCCATCCAGTGTGTGTGCAGGAGGTAAGAGGTGTGAGGGCTGGAGGTTTTAGACGGTGGCCAGTCATGGTGCACGATTGTGTCAGTCATTCCAAGTGGAACATGACGTGGAGTAATTGTATGGACGCTCATGACTGAGGAGTGACAGAGAGCGTATTGTCAGCCACAGCCAGGGGAAATTAGTTTTGTCGCTTCAGCACAGCGTGTGTGCAGGAAAAAAAAAAACGGGAGGGGGGTGAGGGTGTTAGTCAGAGAAATTAGCCATGAATCTTTAAGCATGGCTGCACCTCTGGCCTAGTTTGCCACATTGCATATGCAAACTAGCCTTAGATTGTTTAAATCTGATCCTTTTCTTCTGTCTTCCTCTGCTTTCTGCAGAGTTTAAGGAAGTTAAAGGTAATGCTGAGAGGAATCCTTCATGGGTAGCCAGCAGGATGGATGAGCTTTGACATGACCCTATTAGGACTCACTTAGGAAAGTGCATTTGCAGGCCTGCTACCAGGACAACTAATGGAGATTAGCTTCCATTATGGACATAAAGGACGAGAAAAAAATACATTAAAAGAGCAAAAAATGGGGAAAAAAATATATAAATCTGTCATGAAAAATTTGTTTTTTAACAATATTTGTTAAACAGTTATAAAGACAGTTCCTGCTTTCTTGGCAGATTGTGTGCCACAGGATCCAAACGTCCTCCAACAGCTTCATTTATTATTCGATTGATGAATCGCCTAATATTCAGTGAACTAAGTGACCCGCTTTAACCATGGCTGGACTCTGGCCTAATTAATGAAGACTTTCATGCTTTTGGTGCACATTCGTCTTTTGTTGCGACTTGATGTTTATGAAATGTATAAAAGCTTAAGCCTGGCTTCACAGTGGCATAGAAAGAAAAACACTAGACTTATCGGTCCCTTGTTATTGTTGGATGATTTAAATTATAGGAACTGCTGATCGCTTGTCGGCATTTGACGAGTGTTTGATTCGTTTTGAATGAACGAAGAACTCTGTATTCACATTTTCAATCTGACATAGGACGTAAATACTTTGACAGTTTCTGCTTTTTTCTTTGCTTGCGTGTTGTCACGTAGCATATCGAACATGTTTTGAACCGACACGCACATTTAGATGCTTTGTAGTCAGCGAGCATATACTCACACACACACGTCTTCGAGCACATGAGCGCACGTCCCTCACGCTGATGTGAAGTGACCAGACTGAGCCGCCTGCGAACGGGCCATCAGACCGGACAGTGAACGCTGGGCCTCACTATCGGACATGACAGCACATCCCTACACACACACACACACACACACACACACACAGTGAAAGTAAGGCTTTAGATTTAACGTGACAGGAGAGATTGCTGCTTTCATTAACGTCTGACCCCGTCCTCCATGTTGTCTCTTTCTCTTTTTGCCACTCCCTGCCTTTCACTGTCCTTTTGCACTAATGTGATTGAAGAGCCAGCGTTCGGACAAGTCATACCGCATTTTCCACACACACACACAAAAGGACATGCGTGCGTGTGCTTTTGTGCATACACAAACACACATTTAAACCCATGTCAGACATTCAGGTGCAGATGTGAAGAGACTTGAGGGTCACAGAGGCCAGCAGGGAGCAGACTGGAGAGGGCAGTGTGTGGTTCGTCGCAGGGCAACACCAGTCCCTGCCCACCATGTGTCTGACAGCGCTGACCTTTTAGTCTGTCGTCCTTTAAGTGATGCTCAAACTGACGTGTTTTATTAGTCAAAGATTTTGGAGGATTTTCGCAAAACATTGTAGAACTTGGGTCAGTGTAATGCAGATTATTATAAAATGCATTTTCTCCTTTTCATCAAATCTGAAAGTTCCGTTTTTATTGTCATAGTAAGCATCACCTAATGTCATGCACTACTTTAATGCTCAGAAATGTAATAAAATTTGACAATAATTTTATTTTATACTTTGACAGAAATTTGACATTAGCAGTTGTAATCATTATTAACACTTTTGCTGTATTCTGTCCCAGGCTTTTGGTTTTTTGAGCACTGTAAGGGCAATGAATGCTAAATCAGTCAAATCACAGTACTATAATTATATTATATTATATTATATTATATTATATTATATTATATTATATTATATTATATTATATTATATTATATTATATTATATTATATTATTAGCCATAGTTAACACTCAATGATTTGGCTGTTTGTCAGAAGATGAGCTTCTAACTGGGTGGTGTAAATGTAAGCACATGTATAATCCGAGTCGACCGCAGTAGCAGTGGCTGACTGACGTGTTGCAAATCATCTAACATCTGTAAATGAGTGTGCGCACATGTGGAGAGATGCACACTTTAATGAGGTCAGCTCCGTGCACAACTGTAGGATATTGGAAATCCATCCTATAGGAAGTTTCATGTCGTAAGGGCGTAATCTTCGACGCGATAATACAGATTTTCTTGTTTCTGTGTTGTGAAAGTTTATTCTGTCTTTAGTTTTACTGCTCTTCCAGGTGAAATGCATCCAACTGTCTTTTCTTCACTCGTCTGTTTTTATAAATGTTAATTAACTTAATTTTCTCATTTTGAATGGGCAGTTTATGGATTTCACAGCAGCGTGTTTGACTTTTAGACACACAGTCACACTGAGATTAACACTTGAGGAGATTATTGAGAGTCACACACTTGTATGCAAGCACACACTCGCGCTCGCTTTTAGGGAGTTTAAATGTTTGCACATTTTTCAGATAAGCACAACAAATGCAGTGCACACAGACACAGATCAGCATGCCCCCCCCCCCCACCCACACCCACACACACACACACACACACACACACACACACACACACACACACACACATTTGTGTGGAGGCACACTTGTGTTAATGTCATGCCATGGTGCCATAGGTAAGGTCAGACCTACTTTGACAGTGCTGTGCTGTTATCAGCCTTGCAGGCATGTTTTTCAGCAAGTGTTTTTTCCCCGCTCTTTAACATATGCTGGGCAGCAGCCACATAGACACTTCAGCATATGCTGGCAAGCCTCTGTCAGTGCACTTTAACAGTGCCTGAAGGGAACTAAAGGTCAAAGACACACACACACACACATATTTACACACTCCTCCTGGCTACTGCTCTGTCTTGGGTTATTTGTGAATAGCAGCACTTTTAGCATTAGCACCACTGGAGCATTTTATAGCCTTTCCACACATACACTGATACAAACAAACTGTAATGAGGCATGCATGAGTCTCTGCCGCTACGGTTGAGCACGTCAGAGAAAGAAAAGACTGTCCGTACTCCACATAATTGTACACTGGAGTTCTTTTTTTAATCTCAACTAGAATAGAAAGGTAATTTTGGTATTTTATGTCTCTCTGCGAAACAAATATGCACGTTATGAATCATTTCTGATGCACTTTTGTTTACGCCTCAGAGAGTTTCCAGGTGGTCGTTAGAGGCAACGGTTTTCTCCACGCAAGAAACATCAACCAGGTCCTCTGCAGCTTCAAACTGAATGACACACACACTGTGGGTAAGTTGTGCAGACGGAGACGTGCATTTATACCTGCACAGGGACTGAAAATGCATTGTTAAAATCAAGACTTTATCTAAAAACATTTAAATTCTTATGAAGATTAGGAACGTGTGCACAACCAGAGGCAAAAACAACAATATTTTTAGTCCTAAGATTGTAATCATCTTTTAAATCTTTGTTGGAGTTCATAATAAATCAGCAAAAAACGAACATATCAGACTTAATAATGGCTAATAGAAAATGCAAAATGATTATTTTTTTGCTGTTTTATCAGGATTTTTTTTCATTTGTTGTGCATTTCAGTTCTAGTTCCACAAGATCAGCAGCATGGTGATAGAGTTAGCATTACTGGGCTTCAGGTGTGAACATGTTTATGAAATAACATCTTTACATCCTGCAATGTTTTACAAAAATGACTCGATGTAAAGATTGGATTTGAGTCATTTTTATCTTAGTTCGAATTAGCTTGGACTGTGAACTTATAAATGTAAGAAATGATCAGATCCTGGCAATATTTTTGACAGCTAATGCTTTGGCAGCTCTTGTTGTGCATGCATCTTGCCCAGAAGTTGGTCTATGTGACAATTGTTAGAAACAAGAAGAAAAAAGCTTGTCAGGCTTCCTGTAAAACTAAATGTGTAAATGCATTTTGATTTGGTCTTTGCATTTATTAGGTTTATGAACTGTTCTTTATTTTTCTTATTTAGATGAAAGGCCAGCTCAAATAGAAGATACCTTTCTGCTTTGTCCGGCTCCTGTTGTAGAAGAAGTGGGAAAGTAAGTTGCACCTTTTTTATGGTTCTTTCCAAATTTTCTACACAGATTGCAGACTAGAACCATAGCCAAAAACCAAGCTAGCCGTGAACAGCTGTACAGATATTGTCAGCTGCACTCAAGTTTTTTACGGATGCAGAAGACTGTTGCCCTTGAAGAAATTAGGGGCAAAGTCATCGTGTGTCTGTGATCAATCAATGTTTGTCACAGCTAACGAAGCCAGACACCAATCACAAGGGGACGGCAGGAGTAGAGCCCAGGAACACGACTTAATGACAGCCTGCTTGAGAGTACCACACAACTGTGTGTGATGAGACAAAGTGTGAGCAGAGACAGCAGGCAGTGTAAAGTTTCCTCTGAGGGCTTCCAGCTTTGCTCACAGTGATTTAGCACATAGTTTTCTTCAGGGGCAAACGGAGTGATGCTTTTGGCTGAAGCTCCGGGTGCCTTTACCGTCCCTGCTGCCTGCAGTCTTATCCATAATTACACACTCAGGCCTGCGGCCTCAGACGCCTCCTAGTCATCATCTGTCTTGTCACTCAAATATCTGCCATGATTTGAGTTTGTCTTGTCTGCCAGTAAAAAAGGTGCTGCTTGGATTTCTTAAAGTTGAGAAGAATAGAAACATTTGCCCAACACGGCTGAAAATTTCAAGAATCCCACTTAACCAAAGTATATTTCACTCGCACTGCGTGGAAAAAGCAGCCGAACGTTTACACAGCATTTTTACAACGTGGTGCCTAAAAAGGATTGCTTTGCAGGACTTGAGGCTGATTCTCCTGAGACCAAAGTAAAAAAAAATAAAAAAGGAAGCATCATTAAACACTGGAGTGATGCCTGAAAGAGGCACCTATCCATGTAACAAGCCCATCAGAGCAGAATCAGCACAGCTCAACAGTCTGAGTGCTGCTAAAGAGGATGTCAGCTGTAAATGGCTAAAGGGTCCATGAGAAGACCAACATCTGGCTGATGAATCTAAATGTGGAAATATGTCATGAGGCGAGCATGCACTGGTTCAAGGCTTCTGGGATTCAAGGTTCTTTGTCATTCGCATCGCATGTGGTACATGAGGTGGAACAAAATTGTGTACACAGGGTCCCAGTTACATCCAACAATATCAAAAATATAAAGTGTAAAAAAACAAACAAAAGTAAATAAGGATCTAAGCTATAAATAAACTAAGATATACGCTAAATGAATGCCCAACGATAAGCTAAAAGATCAAAGACATAGGCTAGTCACTAACAGTGCAAAACTCATAGGCTCGGTTCAGCTAAAATTTACACGCTTAATGCGAGCACTAACATAAACTAAAAAAAAATAAATCTACAGCAGCATGGTCCTATTAGCAGAGTGGTTCTGATGACAGTGAGGTTATCTTAACAACATGGTCCAGTTAGCAGCATGATACTGTTAGCAGTGAGGTTTCTCTTAGCAACATGGTCCTGTTGGCACCATGGTACTGTTAGCGGCGTGGTTCGGTTAGCGGCATGGTCTTGTTAGCAGCGTTAGCATTGGTGCAGACTGGCGATACAGAAAATCTTGAGATACTTTCACTCTCAGTTCTTCTCATCATCCAGTATGATCAGCTGTTTTCACGTGTTATTTTTCAAAACGTCCCTTTTTTGTGTGTGTGGTTGCGATCTGAGGCTTGGCCACAGATGCATGCGAGCTCATAAAACATCCAGATTAAGAGTTTAATCTTTTTTTTTTTATGATTTATTAAATCATTCAGGGGCCCTTGAGCTTTGTAGATGGGGCATCTTGCATAATTTTATAAGAAAGATTACTTAAAACAACTTTAGTGGGATTATGCTGCTAAATCAGACGTTGTAACACACTGTAAACAAAAATCCTTACATTTAGCCTGAAAAAATACTTTTACATTCTGTAGGTGAAACATTTTCCTGTTAAAACGTTTATGCATGAAAAGTCAGGGACTGCAGGTTTGTGTCATTCAAAGAAAACCTTCACTCACCTATTTGACCCAAGTATTTCCATTTATAATGAAGACGCTTATGTTGATGTCGTATACATTTGTCTTGACTGGGGACCTTCTGGATGCAGCCCCCTTTGCACGCAGACACACATGCATGTAGGGGAAAAATGTATGAAGTGGGTGCATCAGTGATTGATGGGGGCTGAGATTTCTCTGTCAGGGTGGAGCTGATACATCATGTCTGCTGCCTGCCTGAGAGGAAAGCTGGCTTAGTGATGGGAAGTGTGTGTGTGCGTGTGCGTGTGTGTGTGTGTGGCGGGCACAAAACAGAAGGAAGAAGTCAAAGGGACAATTTGTGGCACCTTCACCAACAAACGCTTTCTCTTTAGTTAACTTATGGGAGATATGAGGTGCTTAAAACAGAGTCTGTGATTCAGGAAGTTTAGAGGGGTTCTCAGATCTGAGGCAAAGTAGGAAAGGGATGTAGAAGAGGAAAAGCTTTTCTCAGACCATCCCCCACACTCTTTCCTCTGTTCTGCCCTCCCACCACCCTGCAGTAACCTCCGTCTTGTTGCCCCCTCCTTGAATTTAAACCTAAAGCTCAATGGTCCGCGTTGTCTCTTTTGCTCCAAACCATTAGAACAAGAAGTCTTTTTTTTTTTTTTAACTAAAGTCCAGCAGTCTGCCAGTTTGGTCTGTCGTGTTTTTGTTCACATTGAAGCTGAAAAGTCCCATCTCTCTTTAGAACCCTCACTGTTTGTACAGTTTTTGGTTTTATCAGTGTAAAGTATTTTCTCTTTCAAATCTTTCGTCCTCACCCTGTTGCTATCAAAGTTTTTTTTTTTATAGCAGCATTAAATTCTGGTGAATAAGAAGTAAGGTGACACCTCTGTGGTTTCCACATTAGAGCTTTGGGTCCAGTCCAAGCAGTGGAGATGATTCCTGTGGGTGGAGAACTCCTTGATCTCTCCATAAGCTTCAGCTGAGAGTCTTTGTCAGCAAATTTGTGTTTTTTAAGGCAGCAAGTACGGACAGAGTGGGAATGTGTTCGACACCTCGTGTCTCTGTTTCCATTAGGTAAAGTTATGGGATACATTTTCATTGTTATGCTGATGATACACAGTTATATTTGTCCATAAAACCCAATGAATCCAATCAGCTACTTGGACTACAAGCATGTCTTAAAGACATAAAAACCTGGATGACCCTAAATTTTCTGCTTTTGAACACAGACAAGACTGAGGTTTTAGTTTTTGGACCTGAGCATCTTAGGAATACATTTTTCAGTCTTTCGCCCTCCTTGGATGGCATTAATCTGGCCTCCAGCTCTAATGTTAAAAATCTTTATTTTTGATCAGGACATGTCTTTTATCCCCCACATTATAAACATTATTAAAACCGGCTTCTTCCGCCTGTGTAATATCACTAAAATTAAAAACATATTATCTAAAAATGATGCAGAAAAACTGGTTCATGCATTTGTCACGTCTAGACTGGACTATTGCAATGGTTTACTATCTGGGTGTCCAAATACTTCTTTAAAAAGTCTTCAGTTAATTCAAAATGCTGCTGCCAGAGTCTTAACTGGAGTTAGTAGGAGAGATCATATCCCTCCAGTTTTAGCTTCTCTCCATTGGCTCCCTGTCAAATCCAGAATAGAATTCAAAATCTTACTTCTAACCTACAAAGCCCTCAACAACCTAGCTCCATCTTATATTACTTATCTTATTGGTTCATATTTTCCTAACAGAGCGCTTTGCTCTCAGATTACAGGCTTACTTGTGGTTCCTAGAGTTTCCAAAAGCAGAATGGGATGAAGATCTTTCAGTTATCAGGCTCCTCTCTTGTGGAACCAACTACCATTTTCTGTCTGTGAGGCTGACACATTGTCCAGTTTTAAGACTGGGCTTAAGACTTTCCTTTTTGATAAATCCTATAGTTAGGGTTAGCTTGTTATGCTGCCATAGGCGTAGACTATTGGAGGACAAACTGACCTCGTTTCCTTAAATGAATTGTTAAAATTGAATAGTTTTCATTTGATGTTATTTTTATCTTAACGTGATTCTCGACCTGCCATTGTGTATCTGTTCCTACCAAACCCAGCTGGTCGAAGCAGATGGCCGCTTGTCCTGAGTCTGGTTTTGCTAAAGGTTTCTTCCTCATGAGGGAGTTTTTCCTTTCCACTGTCGCCTTCATGCTTGTTCAAGATGAGAGTTCTGTGATGGAGTTAAATTCAAAGCAGTCTGCTCCTCAGATAAATAACGTTAAATTATTATTTTTATATATGAATGTTTCTGTTCAGTGCCCTGAGACGACTTCTGTTGTGACTTGGCGCTATATAAATAAACTGAATTGAACTGTGAGACTTGAATCTGTGATGAATGTTTTTCAGGGTGATCTACCTGCAGGTGAGCATGAACGAGGGCCTCTCCTACATCACCAGCTCCGTTCACATCACTACGACAGAGTGTGTGAGTACAGCCTGAGAAATGTTCACACACTACATAAGATGAAATGTCTGAGCATGCTGCCTTTAAAAAAAAACAAAAAACTTTTCTTCCCTTCCTTGTTCTCTCCTGCTTCTCTTATCTTCCTTTTCTCTCCTCTGTTGTTTGTCTTCAGAGGAGGCTGTGAGTACTTTTTCATTTCTCCCCTTTCTTTTGCATCAGTTGTCTTCCAGTTGGGTTTAACCTTTTGTGCTTTATTTCTGTTTCTGCGTAGTTCGACGGCACCATAGTGCTAATTTCATTGCTGGTTGTTTTCCTGCTCTTGGCTCTGCTGCTGATGTGGTGGTTCTGGCCTCTGTGCTGCACCGTGGTAAGTCGGGAGTGTTTCACAACAATTATCACGCAGTTTCTTATTTTGGAAACTAATTCTGGCACCCCTGAAAGCATGGGGCACTTGTGCTATGTTTTATTGGCCTGACATTTAAAGAATTGTTCTCATATTCAGGTGATCAAAGAACCTCCCCCACCTCCACCTCCAGAGCCTGTAAGTCAGCAACACATGTATAAGGTTTAACCAAAATGATAAAACTCTTTTCATGGTACTTTTTGTTTAAAACTCTTCCATGAATGGCAAGCCTTTTGATATTTTAGTCACGTTCTAGATTTAAAGAATATGAGCTGTATGCTGATAAATCTCTCAATAAAAGGATTCAGATGAGGATGATGGGATGCCCAAGAAGAGGTGGCCCACTGTGGATGCTTCATATTATGGAGGAAGAGGAGTGGGTGGCATCAAACGCATGGAGGTACAAAAAAAATACACTCACATTTCTGAGGGCTGCTTTCAGTTCCCAGGCCTCCCTTGCAAAAGAGATCGGTGATCTCAATGGGATTTGCCTGGTTAAATAAAGGTTAATAAATAAATAAATAATAAATTTCTGCGTAAGGGAGTATGATTTAAAGCATATGACCAAATCCTTTCAAAGGTGAGATGGGGGGAGAAAGGCTCGACTGAGGAAGGTGCTAAACTGGACAAACCTAAAAATGCGGTTGTGAAGATGCCAGAGCAGGAATTTGAACCTTTCGAGCCCAAGCCTCGAAAACTTCCCCGCCGTTCTCCGCAGCAGAAGAAGTGGTACTCGCCCATTCAGGTCGGTGTTTTTCTTTACGATTCATCCTCTTCAGAAGTTACATTTTGGTATTTTTCGTTGTAAATTAATTTTTTTCTTTTTGGTGTTTTCAGGGGAAACTCGATGCTCTGTGGGCTCTGTTCAGACGAGGTTATGACCAGGTGTCTCTAATGAGACCGCAGCCTGGAGATCAGGTGAGCCTGCTTCTTAAAGCCCTCTTATTATCTGCAACTAAGATTTAGGCTAAGCATTGTAACTCAATCGTACGTGTAATTTAAGAATTGTGTGTAATCTGGATGAGTTCTCGCTAGTAAAAGGTTTCAAATAGTAAGTTAGATGTTGCAGAGAGGTCTTCTGTCTCTGTTGTGAGCAGCAAAGCTTCCATATCTGACTCACTACAAGAGCTGAGTGTTACTGAGCAATGTGCACAGTTTAGTTCTGCTTTCCTCCATGCACGCTAATTCACACTGAGTCATGCACGCTAATTCACACTGAGTCAAAAAGCCACTGATGACACTCGCCCTGTCAAAGCTGCAACTGTTCACATGCAAGGAGTACAGCTGTGCTCTGTACTTTTCCCTGTAAATCCATGAGAACATGTATTCCTGTTCAAAGGTTACAATCTCTTTCACTACTTTGATTTGATAATATATGTATTTTATGTTTTAATACTGAAAGGATACAAGGACTACTCCTGAAAAGTTGTAAATTATGATGTGACTGCGTTTTTTTGCAAGTGTGTAAAAAAATCTCTATTTTCCAACCTTGACCCCGTGAATGTCATCCCATAACCCCGAAGACGTGTTTCCACCATCATTCTGGTTGTCATGGTGAAACATCTGCATCGTTATAAATAGTGTCATTGTCACGATACAGCCAATGCCGTCTCACTCATTGATTTGTACTTTGAATGGCACGATTCTTCTTCTTTATAGAACAGTGTTGGTATGCGTGTCGACTGCATATGAAGTCTTTAAACGTGGACCGTTACTGAACGGTTTCTCTTTTTTTAATTATTTTTTATTCATGTCTGAATTTTTTTATTTATTTTTTTCTAAGTGGAACATAAAGTGTCTGTCAGGGCAGAAGTTTCAGCAGTCTTTGTCAGCCACGTTGGTACCGTGGTTCACAGATCCGTTCAACAATGATCGAATCCTTTCACGCGTCATTAACTGAGGAAAATGAAAAGCTCACATTAAAGAAAATAAATGGATGGGGTGGGGGGGGGACACTTTTTCAAAAGTAGTTGTGCAAAACTAGAGCTTAAAGAAAGTGAATTCTCACCAAGCTTAGATCTGAATTCTGCTCAGATTTCTTATATTAGTAATGTAATTTCTCCTATAGAAATCTTCTTCTTCCAGCTTGTCCCTCTTCAGGGGTCGTCACAGCGAGTCATCCTCCTCCATCTCACTCTGTCCTCTGCATCTTCTGTCCTCACTCCAACTACCTCCATGTCCTCTTAACTGCATCCATCAATATACCCACTGTCCCTCCTCTGGACATGTCCAAACCATCTCAGCCTGGCCTCTCTAACTTTATCTCCCAGTTGTTCAACCTGTGCTGTACCTCTGATGATCTCATTCTAATCTTATCCATCCTTGTCACTCCTAAGGAGAACCTCAGCATCTTCATTTCTTCCACTTCCAGTTCTTTCTCTTTGTCTTTTTGTCATTGCCACTGTCTCCAGACCATACAATATAGCTGGTTTCTCTGCTATAGAAATATGGTTGTAAATCTACAAGGATGGCCAGCTGTGAGATGCAAAACTTTAACAGGACACCGCAGCAACCAGCAAGTATCAGAATGAATTGTTAAACAGCAGCTGCAAAGAAGCTTTTTCTGCTCATTCCTCCTAAATCACTTCATCTGTAAATGACCATCAGCAGACAGTTTCTGCCACACTCCATGTTTGCATTTTATCTTTTTTATTTTTGTGTTAGGTTTCCCCAGTGAACACCACACAAACAGATGGAGGAGTTTAAAAGCCACGAGTCACATAATTAAAGATGAGATTCCCTTCTTTTGTCCCCAGAGCTGAAGGCACCCATGGTCCCCGACACACAGACCAGAGAGCAGCCACCAAAATGTACAGACGGCACAAATGAGCAATGCCCCTATTCTCTCTTCCTCTTTAACTTCTGCTCAGGAATTCGAAATAATTCCAAAAATAGTTCAAGATTTACCGTATAGCTTTATGCCACATAATACAGTGGAAGCTGATTAATCCTTCGGGGTTTAAACAACGTGTCTGTGATGTTTTCCCACGAAAAAAAAAAAAATTCTAATAAACACTCGTTTAAAACTTCCATGTACTCAGGAAAAATCTAACCTAATTTAGAATTTTCTAAATGCCTTCAGCACCATAAAAATCTTTATTTCAAACCCAAACAGGAAAACCATTTAAGAGCTGTCAAACAAAACTGAAAGGAACATACCATGGTAAATGGTAAATGGTAAATGGAGCTTACTTCTATAGCGCCTTCCAGCCCCCTATGAGGGGCCCCAAGGCGCTTTACAGTACCAGCCATCCACCCATTCACACGCACATTCATACACCGGTGGCGGTAGGCTGCCATGCAAGGCGCCATCCAGTCCCACCGGGAGCAACTCGGGGTTAAGTGTCTTGCCCAGGGACACAACGGCACATGGTGTGGGAAGTCGGGATTCGAACCTCCAACCTTCCGATCAGAGGTCGGCTGCCACTACCACTGCACCACGGCCGCCCACTTACCATGAACCAAGAGATTTTATTGAAACTTAAAAGAAAAAACAATTGGATGTACATTTACAACTTATTGACTTTTTGAGTCCACTCAACTAAAAATGGTCATCCCAACTAGTTAGCCGGCACAGAACTGGATTGAACTCATCCAGTTTAACAGACTTTGAGCCAATATTTAGTAAGGAAGTAGCTGAGAGTGATTTCTATGGAGTGCCATTTGTAAAGTTACACAGTCAAAAATTAACAGCAATATTTTGGTTTATTTAGCCTTTAATAAGAAAAAAAAATTTTTTTTTTCAAAGTCATATTTTCACCATTTTATTCATACATTTATAAGTTTCGTAGTTCCAAACTAAATATTTAATTTACAAGTTAAATATTTAGTTTACATACTAAATGTTATGTCCAAGATAAATGTTTAATTTACAAACTAAATATTTAACTTACAAGTCAAGTATTTAATTAGTGAACTAAATATTTAGGTGTAAATTAAATATTTAATTTCCAAGCTAAATATTTATTTTCAAAACTAAACATTTAATTTCCAAACTAAACATGTAATTTCAAGCTAAATATTTAATTTGCTAACTAGCTTGCTAGCTAAAATTTTAGATTAAATGCAAATTCCTTGCAAAAAAGTGTAAGTGGACTATCAAAATAAAAACCGGAACTCTATATATTGTATACACCTCTAGCCAATCATGGCAAACGAGTTAGCAGAGAACATTGGACGAGCCGTTCTAACGGCTATACAGTCGTTCACTCATTTCCATGTCCAGAGGACAAGAATGACATATGGCATATAAGAGAAAACTGAAGCAATTCAGTCTGGCAACTCTTCTTCGTCTTCTACGTCTGGTGTTTTTTGGTGGTTTGGCAAGAGGCCTATATAGAGAGGATCGGCTTTTATTTTGATAGTCCACTTCCACTTTTCAGCAAGGAATTTGCATATTAGCTAAAATTTAGGTTTGAGATAAATATTTAATATGCAAGTTAAATATTTAGGTCCAAGCTAAATATTTAGTTAGCAAATTAAATATTTATTTTGAAAATTAAATGCTTAGCTTGGAAAATAAATATTTAGGTTCAAGCTAAATGTTTAGTTAGCAAATTAAATATTTAGTTTAAGAATTAAATGTTTAGCTTGAAATTAAATATTTAGTTTGGAAATTCCATATTTAGCTTGGACAATAAATATTTAATTTACACCTAAATATTTAGTCTACTAACTAAAAATTTAACTTGCAAGTTAAATATTTTGTTTGTAAATTAAACATTTATCTTGGACATAAACGTTTAGTTTGTAAACTAAATATTTAGTGTTGCGCTAAATATTTAGCTTGCTAACTAAATAGTTAACTTGCAAGTTAGGTATTTAATTTGTAAAGCACTGTGTGCTACACACCGTGCATCATCTTTATTTAAAACATTGACAGTCACTGTTAGAATCAACACTGTCTGTTAGCAAAATATCTCACAAACCACTGGACAGATTTGATGAAAAACTTAAAGAGCAAGATCAGCTAATCAACATAAACATTTTAAAGCACATTGCATGCAAATATAACATCTTAATTGTTTTCCTCTTTCTGTTCTTGTATTGATTTACAAACAGAAAAACTGCAATGGCAGCTCCACATGTAGCTGTAATGTCATGAGAGCTGACATCCGTACTGTCAAATCAGATCTAGGTTTCCTCTTGCACCTCTCTTTTTTTATATTATATTGGTGACAGAAATAAATATAAATGAGGGCATCAGTTCCCTGTAAACATCCACAAACAGTCTGCCTTATGTGTGTCTGGAAGAAGGGCAAAGTCTTCAGGGTTCGACAGAGAAACGGAGCAGGCAAGTGGCGTGAAGAGGGTTGCTGGAGGAGTTGAGGTTCTATTTTTCTTCTGAGGAAGAGTTGAGGGTTTGAAGTAAACAATCGCCACAAGAAGGAATGAAGCCATGACAAATAATCCAGGTGGAGGGGAGCGCAGAGCCTGACCACAACCAGCGACACACTGCTGAACTCGCAGCTTATTTCTGTACACATCATCCTGTCGACGGCTGAAAAAATGTTCAGCCCTCAGTTTTTTGGTTTGCTCCTCCGCCGCACCTCCTAACCTTTGTCTCTCCCACTCGTTTTCTATTTATTCATGAGGTTTCATTCAGGCCATATGCTCTGGTGGAGGCAAGTTTACCATCTCTCTCACTGTCTCTCTCACACACACACACTTATAAATACACTCGTATTCATGAGCTTGTGTTCTCATTGTGTCCATATGCTCCTTTTTGTGTTGTGCTGCTGCTCTGCTGCTCACAAACTGGCCTTTTCACTGGGGCCCAGCAACAACACCACAACAGTCCCCCCCACATCTCCTCTCTGAGTTGCCCTCAATCAATTACACACCCCTCATATAAACGCATGAAGCCACAATGACCCCTTCAGTCACAAAGCCACTGCTGCTGGGACCTCTTAATGGCCCCTGTGTGACTTTAGTGCCTCTTTGCTTAATAAGGTGTTATAATCAGACCACCAAGGGTCTGCAACACTGAACAAGGCAAAAGTGTGCATGCATGCATGTGTGTGTGTGTGTGTGTGCTGGATGATTTGGAGATGAGAGATGAAAAATCCATCAATCAGGACGAGAAGCATTATTCTCCCAGACTTGTAAATTATGCTAAACGTCCCCAACTATTGTTGAGATATTTAAATTCTTCTGTGTTTTTAAATCTTGCACATGAGAAGCATAACCTACGATCCGTTCTGCATTTACTAGCGCAGGTGGACGGAAAACAGAAGTGTCTTGTGTGTGCTCCCTGAGCCTCAAACACGCGAGCATTTGTCTGCAAAGCTGGGCAGAGGTTCACACGAACCGTTTTAGCTGCTGGATCTAAGAAACTCGTTGATTTTTATACAGAAAAGCAACTGTCATTCAGACTGATGGGCACTTATGGTTTAACCTGTTTTTCTACACAGGGTCGCTGTATTCGTTTTCAGCGGGTCAGAGATGATGAGGCCCCCTCTTATCAGGCAACCCCCCCCAGGCTTCACTCGTCCTCAGCTCCTTCATCAGATGAGCAGGAACCTGAAGTCTCCAACTCCGTCCCCCGTACGAAGCCTCCGTCAAGAGGGCCGCGCACCGCGCCTTCACCTGTTATCACACCCCTCTCACGCGCACCACCTCCCATGGCCCGACCCCTGCCGGGTCCACCCCCAGCTCGTGCGCCGCCAGGGCCACCAGGCCCGCCCCCGTCTCGACCCCCACCGAGGCTGTAAGAAACTAGATTAAAAAACAAAACGGAGATGCTTCTTCTTAAAGTGTCCTCCTTTCATCCCCAAACACCAAAGATTAAAACTTCCAGGTCAGAGGTGTTGAGCTCTGTCTTGTTGCTGGACAGCAAAATAAATCCAGTGTCAAAATCAGCTACTGAGTTTCAAGGACAAAACGTATACAAAGAACAAGTTTTATGAACAAAAACAAACTAATGTATTTAATTAGGCCTTGTATGTACGGTTAAGGCCATGTCGAGGGAGATGGTGAGTGTAAGTGCAATCCTTCATGGACTTTATTGTGGGTTAGTTTGTTGACATCTGAACAGCTGAAATTAAAAAGTAAAACAGACTTTGTGGATCTGCATGCAATAATAGAGAGAGGGGGAAGTGCTGTGAAATACAACGTAGTAAAAAATGATGTCATTTGTGTTGGCTTTTTTTGTAATTACAGATTTAAGTGTCCACAATTCATTTGTAATTATACCTTTTCAACAAATGAAATGTTTTTGTCTACAATCTTCAATTACAGTTTAGTATAAAAGTTCAGTGATCCTTTTGCAACTGCAGGGCAGTTTTTTTTTTTTTGTATTTTTATTTATTGTTATACTCCCTTTTCTGCTTAGAATCTGGTAGCTTTGTAATTTTTTGTAATTACTGGGTGAGGGGCTGCACCGCAGCAGATTCTAGAATGCATTTTGGCAGAGAGCGTTGACAAACGTCGAGTAAAAATTGCATTGAAAATGAGCATCTTCAGGGTTTTATTTTCCTGTATACTACATATTTTGACATGAAATGATCATTTGCATTATTTCTTCCCTAACAGCTTGTCTGACTTCAATAAAGAAACTTTTTTTTTTTACATATTTTCTACCTGGCAGTGATTTTAATTTTATTTTTTGAGTAAATAAAAGGACAGTTTTATTTTATAGTTATTGTAAATCAGCCAGTTTTTACTATGTAGTTATTAGTTAATTGGATTTTGCAGGATGTAGCATTTGATGATGTAATGCCCAACGGTGATCTTTAATTACACAAATTACACTTTCACTGCTGTCTGGACAGTTTATTCCCAACATACAGCCAAATAACCTGCAAAATCCAATGTGGAGCCAAGATTTTAAATGGTTTTTAATTCCTATTTCAGGAAAATATTCCAATAACAAAACTTGTGTACGCAGTGTACTGAAGTGTATTAAAGTAGGAGATTGAAAAGTATTAAGTAGGTGTAAAACCAAGCTTTTACCGTGTCGTAATGGGTTATTTGCAATAAAGGAGCAAATTTATTCAATATGTATTAAAAATTACAACAAAAAGTCCAGATTGTGTATAAAATGTACAGTTACACATGCAGGATGTAGTAAACTAGACTTAGGCCGGATATTTTGCTCCTAAACCCGTGTGCATCATTAGGCATCGATGGAAGTTTTACAGATGTGCAATTTTTCCCTGGGAACTAATGGACAGTTTTCTATTTAACTGCCATGATGTAATTTCCTGACATTTTGGGAGTTTAGTGTAACGCTTAGGCAGCGTTTTAAAGATGCAGTAATGAGGTACAACCACTGAATCAGATTTATATAACAAACCAAAGAGCTAAACCAGAATTTGTTTCTAATCCTCGTGACATTGTTTCTCAGTACGGGTCTGAAAACCTGAATCATTTCCTTCTCAAGAAACGCTGACTTCAAACCTTAAACACATACGAATGTGATTAGGAGGTCAGCCTGTCACTGCATGACTCACTTCACTGCAACCTAGCTGGAAAAATACATCACAGGAGGATACTGGTATGTGAAGTCCCCTCGGCAAATCAGCCTACAGCTGTTCTCTGCGCTGCCAAACGCAACAACCAATGGCTTAAAATAACTGGGTCTCTGTTGAGAAACAGAATAAAAGTGGGATCATGTTTCAGTTAATAAACAGTTTTAACACTCTTGTTGCATTTTGAACGCTTTTTCTTCACGGTTTACAACTCAAGTATGCAGCAACATCAAGAGTCCAAACAGAGCAATGGAAATGGTCAACTCATTTCACATGGCATAAGAAGTTAAAGGCCTAGCATTGTTTCAAGAAACGCATACATGCAAATCGCATTATAACCAACGTTCCAAGTCGGTTGGGAGTGTTGTGAAGGCCTCTCCGCTACCACACCAAACTAGTACAACTTCTGTAAACAATAAAACAATTCTTTTTATGTTGTCAAGGGTTGTTTGGCTTGTGGTAGCCATATTGAATAGAGTTAGCTTCAAAAGTAAATTATTTGTAAATGTGCATCCAATGAATATTTTAACCTTTGCTTAAAATCGTTCCAGAAGATATTTTGCTAACAAAGCTGACTCCAAATAGCTAAAAGCAAAGTTTTAGACAAAAACCCCAACTCAGAATATGAGCTAAGGATAAGCTAGTACTAGGCCTGTTGCGATAAACAATAAATCAATTAATCGCATGATAAATGACAACTACCTCATTTTCATTCATTGGCTTTATAGTTTCTTCGTTTTTCTCTCTTTCTACTGAAGACACTGGATGACAAAAGGTTCAACTCCGGTGCTCTTCACTGACCCCTCCCTTTCTCTTTAAAATCCATTTTAAAAGCCCAAAATTGCGTTTTTGGATCGTTAAAATCAGCAAAACTGAGAAGCTAAGCTACAAGCTAACAGGCCGACCTTGTGAAAAAACCTGTCTTGTCGAAGCTCCAAAATTCCCGGTTGAAACACATGCCTTCATGTAAAAAGTTGTTTTCTCTGCAAAAAGAAGCCGAGAGCTTGTTTACTGATTTTTTATTAAAAGATTTGTGAGAAAAATGCTCTGCTAAAGAGCTCAAACCACACTGAGAGTCCGCCATTTTGAGAACCTTGGAAAGGCGAGACAGCCCATGCCACGTCAAGAGGCCTCCCTCCCATTTTTCTTAGACATGCTGCTCGCCAGTGTTGCCAGGTGAGAAATGTAGGATTATCGTACTAGAGACATAAAATTATCGTATTTTGAGGGAAATTATTGTACACCCGTCACAACCAAAAGAACATATCTATTGATGCACTATAGTAGTGATGGGTCCGCTTCCAGACCGGCTCTGCTTCTTCTTCTCTTTTCTTTTCCTCACTCATGGGGCGGGTGCAGCGGACTATTCAGCCAATCATGGTCGTTGTTCTGAGGCAAACGCATACACATCACTCGTAGGTAACATTTACAAAAGCACGAGCCAATCGTGCATCTGTTTGCGGACACAGATGCCTTCAGGGTTCACAAAAAAACTCGAAGACAGTTGCGACAGGCTGATGACAACCGATTAAAACCACACATTCACGGAATGGTCAAATTATCGTATATTTGGACTTTTTGGGATTATTGATCGTACATCGTACAGAGGGCAAAATTGTTGTACAAACACGATAATTATCGTGCACCTGGCAACGCTGCTGCTCGCTCCCTCACCATCCATCTTTCGGTTCAAACTCTTATACTGCCATCCAGTGGTAGAAAAAAGGTACTACATGCAAAACAAATTGCACATTTCTTCTTCAATTTTACAATAATTACTAATTGTCAAATTTCAAACAATATTATCGTTTATCGCAATAATTTCTGAGACAATCACCGAGCAAAATTTGCTGTGACAGGCCTAGCTAGTATCGTACTAAATTTTGGTTTATAATCTGTAAAACTGACTGGGCTATAAGCATAAGGTAAGTTTATTATGGCTATAATCTTAAACTGAAGTTAATCAGTTTTAAATGTACATCAAATGATTACTTTCTGCACATATCATTTTGCCCTGTGGTTCATGAGACATTTTGTAAAACACACACAAGCAAAAACATAATTGTCTGCCTTCGTTGTGCAGTGATAAACCTTTAATATAAATGTGTTCCCCTTTCAAATGAAGTTTATCTGATGCAGGTCAAAATGCAGTCTTCCATTTGATTTCACCGTTTACATTCATGCAGGAGCAGCATGTTTGAAAGGGTTTGGCTGTTTTATGAGCAGAACTTTTGAAACATGGCACATTTTAAAAACAAAACAGCCCTTCTCACACGTACAGAGTGTGTGTGTGTCCTCGTTTTATCATGTTACAGATCAGGCCATAACACACATAATCAGTCTATTCAATATGAACATGATCTTCAGGCTTTCCTTTTTTTCTTCTGCATTTTCTTTCCAGACAGCGCCCCCTTCTGGGCTCCTCGCACCATACCCTTAAACTGACCGTGCAGCTTGGCACGCTTCCTGTGAATATAGAACAAAACACACAGGAGTCAGAAACTTTCCGACGAGTCGATTCTTTGTCTTAAAACACACTTAAACATTATTATACGTCGCCCATACCGGCGGTTGAGTTGATCCTTCCTTAGAGGGATGTAAGCGTAAGGATCAAGCTTTCCCTTTTTCTTCACGTCTCCTTTTCCTTTCTGTCAGAGCACAAAAAAATAATACTCAAGAGTGACGATTTCTGACCTACAAAACATCCAAGCTTCGATTTTGAGCATACTCACCTTTGATTTATAATCAACTCCTATATCTTGGCTTCGTCCCACAGGTCTGTGGATTCCTGAGCCGCCAGCTTAAAAAACAAAGCGTCTCATCAGCATTAAACGCAGCCAGGTGATCAAACGACAACGCTTTTTTTAATTATAGTTACCTTTATATTTAAACTGAGGTTCGATGTCCATGTCGTCGTCAGAGTCATCATCTTTAAACTTCTTCTTCTGTGACTTTTTCTGCAAGTGTTGTTAAAGGATGGACCATAAATACAACTGCGTTCAACGGTTCACAAACTTGTTGATTTTTGTAAAACCTTACACTTCTGACTCCTGCTTCTTCAAGAATATCGTTCATTTCTTTTCCGTCTGTGAAAAGAACAAGATTGTTGTCACCAACTGTTCAGACGTAAAACAATTTGTGAGACGCCAATGGATCGCTTCTACCTTTGCCCTTGGCGTCCTCATCGTCGTCATCTCTAATAATCAGCCGTCCATCTGAGGTCACTTTAAAGCCATGTTTGACCTTGGAAGTCTTCTTCAGAGCTGGGTTTGTGGCTGAGAAACAGCAAAAAATCATTTTAGCTCTACTGGAACTGGTGATCATGCCTCAAAACTTAAAAAAAAAAAAAAAGTTCTGAGCAGCTATTAAGACCCAACGGTGGACGCTGCGTTACCTAAAACTCTCTGGGAAACCTTTGGATCCAGGAAGTTAAGCGGGTCATCTTCCTCTCCCTCTTTGAGCCACGCCTGTCCTTTCTGCTGTTTGCTCGATTTCTTCCGAGGCTTTCCTTCCTCCTCGGACAAATCGCTGTCGGACTCGGCAAGGATGTCTTCGATACTGGTTTAGAAAGGAGAACAGGCTACTAGGTTCGGCTGGGCGATATGGACCAAAATTAACATCTCGATATTTTAAAATGAATGGCGATATACGATATATATCTTGATATACGTTTTCTTTCCATAAAATAATAACAAAAATATATTTCTGAGTCCAGACTTTGTTCCAGTTGTCGCACAGGCACATTTATTAACCAACAGCTGTAACTGTACAAATAAATGTCTAAAAAATAAACGATTTACATATATTAAATGGTTTATTTTTTAGACATTTATTTACATAAATTAAATAATAATGCTCTTCAGCTGCGCTGCCTTCACAGCATTAGTAAACGTGTGGTGCCGCGTGCAGTTGGCGGCGCAGACGGGAGAAAAAAAAAGAACTACATGGCTTTTCAAGTCTAATTATAACTCAACATAGAAATATCAATGTAGATGATATAGTCCCATCTTATATCACGTATTAAATTATCGCGATATTTTTTAAAATATCGGGATATCGCCCAGCCCTACTTCTAGGGAAAAAACTGTGTAGAAGAGTTGTGGCAGTTTTGTGCTGGTAGTTCCATTCTACCTGTCACTCTTTGTTTTAGGAGCCTCCTCTTCGCTCTCTGAGTCATTGTGCTCCTCAGCTGCTTGTTTGTGCCTCTTGGTTCGAGCCTCGGCCTTGCGGATGTTTGCCAGCACCTTGTGGTGTTCTGTAGGCAGCATGCTCTTCACCAGCTCATAACTAGAGACAAAATAAAATAAAATAAAATAAAAAACAGAACAAGAGATTTTAGAAAACTGAAGGAGTGTCGTTAAAGTGCAAAGGATAGGCTAAAAGGTTTTGGAGCGCTTACCCAAACTTTCTAATAAACTTGGTGAAGATGTTTTTCAGTTTGGTTCTGAAGTGTCGTCTGACATCATCCTTGATGTTTCCAATACCCTCCATCTGAGCATGACAAAAAGTGACATGCAGCACAAACCTTTTCCAAGCAAATGTGCCAAACTATCTTTTTATTTCCCCACCTAAAGTTTTTATTTAAGGTTGACAATTTGCTCGGATATGAGCAAATTTTATTGCTCAAGTCAACCGTAGTTGTTGTTTTTTTTTTTTTTTGTTGTTGATTTTAAATCAGCTCTGTGATGGATTTGCACGCTTCCCAGGGTGTCCCCAGCCTTTCGCACAGTGATAGCTGGACATGGGTGCCAGTGACCCCCACGACCCGAAAAGGAAGAAGCGGGTAAAGATAATGGATGGATGTTTTTAATCAAACTGAACTTATATTTAATCATTTATTTAGCAAGAAGCATTTAAAATTAGCCAAATACCACCAGAAAAATGTGTATTTTGGTCCATTTTTGGATGCCTATTTCTGGCTATAATTCAAATGAAATGTGGAAAACTAATCAGAGGATTGCAGATCAACTAGAGATCTGGCCCGATGGGCAAAATGATCCATTTAAAACATTTAAAAGCAGCCTATTTAAACTGTTACACCTGCCTAATAATCCACATAGTCAAATTTTGATCGTAATTTAAAAATAAAAATCGAGGATGGAGGCTCCCAGTTAGACTGACATAACTGTCCTATAAGACGCCACGTGCACTGTAGAATGGTAGCGTCGACAGGAGCTCCTCTTCAACTCGCTCCATTTTTTTTGTTCCTGTTGTTTTTGTTCAACTTTTCTTGCATTTACACTGAACACCCACGCTAAGGTTATGACAGCTACACACTTTTGGGGCTTTGTGTGTCACTGCCTTGCCACGTGGTTCAGTTCCTGGCCCCCCCTCTTGCCTCGGGCTCAGGCCTGTCATGGCGGCCGTCTCCATGATCCTCCATCTGCCTGCACGGACCCAACTCTACGGAACAGTTCGGTTCGGCGGGGAAACTTTGGATGTTCTGTGTCTGCCGGACCCAGTTCTGGAGGACAGTCTGGGAGGGCAGCTGCTGCGGTCCTTATTATCATCATGCTGCTAACAGGACCGTGCTGCTAACAAGACCACGCCACTAACAAGACCACGTCGCTAACAAGACCACGCCGCTAACAAGACCACGCCGCTAATAGTACCATGCCGCTAACAGTACCATGCCGCTAACAGTACCATGCTGCTAAAAGAACCTCACTGCTAATAGGACTATGTTGCTTACAGAACCACACTGCTAACAGTACCATGGTGCTAACAGTACCATGCCGCTAACAGTACCATGCCGCTAACAGTACCATGCTGCTAAAAGAACTATGCTGCTAACCGAACCACACTGCTAACTGAGCCACACTGCTAACAGTACCATGCTGCTAATGAGACCATGTTGCTAACCAGACCACGCCGCTAACAGTACCCTGCTGCTAAAAGAACCTCACTGCTAATAGGACTATGCTGCTTACAGAACCCCACTGCTAGCAGTACCATGGTGCTAAAAAGAGCCTCACTGCTAACTGAACCACTCTGCTAATTGGACTATGCTGCTAACGAGACCATTTTGCTAAGAGAACCTCACTGCTAACAGAACCACTCTGCTAATAGGACCATGCTGCTGTAGATGCATTTCTTTTTCACTTTTGACGCCTTGTTTTTGTATTTTTGTTGCATGCTTTGATATTTCTTGTTGTCATTTTTTTGTCGAGTCGAGATGGTTCTTCTCGTCCTGAGCATTTCATTGCATTATTGACCTTGTGTTGGATCTGAATATGACAAATAAACCTAACCTAACCTATAAGACTTAGGAACTAGAATGTTCAGTTCATACCATGACTGTGACATGTGAGGCCAGTGTTTTGGGGTCCATGATGAAGAGGATGACCTTGACGAAGCCTAAAGATGCTTTGACGATCTCCCTGGTACGAGACGACAGCAGCAGACAGATGTTGTACAGCAGCTGCTCCAACGTGGACACCTCTATAGAGTCTGAAAGGAAAAAATAAATAAAAAGTGTACTGAATCCAGCTCATTACCTCGGTATCACCTGCAGTCAGCGAGGCTTACCTTTATACTCAAACACTATACGCGTTAGGGCCAAGATGGTGCAAGTGATCATGGTGACGGAGCCGGTGAGTCCGGCGTACATCAGAACCAAAAACTGCTCCATGGCATCTGCGTCACAGGCAGGCAAAGTTATTTATTAAAACATTTACTGGCCAAATCTTTAAAATAAGAACACGGTTTCTATACATTAGAAATAGATGCACCACCTTGTGTGTTCCCACAGAAACGAACAAAAGCTTTTCCTATTTCCACCAGCAGGATGTAAGCGTTTTTACGAGCTACAACAGAAACCTCTTTGGTACAAATAATCACCTGAAAGCACACACAAAAAAACAAACCTTGTAAAAATTGTCACTTTGCTACTTTCCTGTCAGTTTTTATCGTGACATTACCTCTGGCAGCAGTGCAATGATGAAGTCTTTGTGTTTCTCATCTAATCTTTTCACAATATGGATGAGACACTTCAGTCTTGGCTGGAAAAATGATTTGCATGAAACCGTCAGTGAGAAATATAAACTATGATAATCACATTTGTTTGCTATGCTTCCCTCCATCCAAAGGTCTCTCACCCTCTTTGCTGGTGAAGATGCATTTTTCAGGGTATCAAGAAGGACAAGTTTGAGTGTTTCCAGATTAGACGTGACAAATGATTTGCACTCGTCTTTCTCTGCTCCGCACATCTCCTCCAGCACGCGGTATGCCTTCTTCTGCATGCCGGGCTCTTTGACCTGAACACAAATGCACCAACATCCAACCAGTTAATGAGAAATGTCCTCAACAGGTCTGGATTAGAAACTCTCTGCGTCATTAGGGACATTATACGAGTGTTTACCTCCAAAAATGGTCTAACAAGCTCAAAAGTTTTAGTCATGGTGAGCTCATCTACAAAGGGAGCCATCACAACCACAAGGTCCATCACTGCCAGTCTGAGGAAGAAGATGCCAAAAAAAAAAAGAAAACTTAAGATTTAAATTCACTTTTAATTACGGTACTCATTAAAGCAGTAAATCCAGATTTATATTTCACCGTGTGAACTCTGTGCTCTCAGTGCTCGTCAGCATGTCAGAAGCTTTTTGCAGGAACGTGCAGATCAACTGAGGAGACAGTTTGAATGAGTGACGCAGCATATCCATGTTAAAACGTACAAGCAAACCCTTTTAAGACCGTAAGGCACAATGAGAAGTAATTTCATTACCTGTGTTTCAGTGACAGTTAAGTAAACTTTGATGGTGTCCAGCACAGCCATCCTATAGGTTCCTGACTCTCCCTCTGCAGGCTTCTGGTTGTACACGTTAAAAAGGATGGGTAGGAAGTTCTTAGAGAAATGTCCTAATTCAACTTTTTCTTCCTCTTTAACAGAAACAGATGCAGGAGTTTAGAAATGACTTGTTGCAATAGTTGTTGTATTTGTGAACATGTGCCCTGGTACCCGTGGAGCAGCTCTTGTTGATTAGAGTGCGGAGCGCGTGGCACACCGAGAGTCTCACGTCTGGTCGTTCATTAATGGCCATGCCCAGCGTGCGAGCCAAACCTTTGAAAGACACCACCAGGTCCACCGGACATGTGCAGAAGCCAGAAAGCATAGTCCAAATCTATAACAGACAAAAACTTTTGGGTTATTTTTATTTTCAAATTCTAATAAAACTTGCTTGTTTCATTCCTGAGATAATTGTCTGACAACACAATAAATTTATACAATTCATTTAGCTGTTTATATAAATAAGCTAACTTAAAAGCTATTGTAAAGATAAATGAGTTGGAGGTACTGGGACCACACCTTTGGTCCATGTTAAAGGTCAACAAAGCTGTCAGTCAACTGCAAGAGTGTTAAAAGATTTGTGGCTCTATCTACAAAAAATAAAATCGACCAGGAAAAACACCCACAATAATGCTAAAACAATGTGGTTTCTGTGGGTGAACCTATAGACCTATAGCTCAGTTGGTAGAGCTGTTGACTCTTAGCAAGCAAGAAGGTTGCCAAATCAAATCCTGACAGAGTGCATTTCTGGGTGGTTTGCAGGTTCTCTCCGTGCATGCATGGGTTTTCTCCCACAGACCAAAAACATGCATGTTAGGCTGACTGGTAATTGCCCCACAGGTGTGAGTGAGAGTGTGAATGGTTGGTTGAGGTCACTGAGGTAGTTAAAAAGCTCTGTGGCAGCAGGGCACCTTAAGGAATTAGATATTGTATGTTGTGGGGATGTCTTGGTTGACGCACCTTTGCATGGACATCAGGGGCAGTGCCACTGGATTGGCAGACTGGGGTGGTGGTTCCTCTTTTCAAAAAAAGGGACCAGATGGTGTGCTCCAATAACAGGGGCATCACTCTCAGACTTCCTGGTAAGGTCTATTCAGGGGTACTGGAGAAGCGAGTCCGATTGTTGGTCGAACCTCAGATCCAGGAGGAACAATGCCTGGCCGTGGAACACTGGATCAGCTTTTTATCCTCACTAGGGTCCTTGAGGGGTCATGGGAGTTTGCTCATCCAGTCTACATGTGTTTTGTGGACTTGGAGAAGGCTTTTGACCATGTTCGTCGAGGTACACTGTGGGGGGTGCTCCGCGAGTATGGGATTGGGGGCCCGTTGTTACAGGCTGTTCGGTCCCTTTACAAGCTGTGCGAGTTTGGTTTGCATTGCCGGTAGTAAGTCGGACTCCTTCAGGGTGGGAGGTGGACTCCGCCAGGGCTGCCCATTGTCACAGATTCTGTTCATAACTTACATGGACAGAATTTCTTGGTGCAGCCAGGGGACGGAGGTAGTCCAGTTCGGCACAGCATATGCAGTATTGCGGACTCCGTGCCAGTCCATTGTGGTGAAGAGGGAGCTGAGCTGTAATCTACGTTCCTACCCTCACCTATGGCCACAAACTCTGAGTAGTGACCAAAAGAACGAGATCGCAGATACAGGCGGTTGAAATGAGTTTCCTCCGCAGGGTGGCTGGACTCTCCTTCAGAGACAGGGTGAGAAGTCCAGTTATCCGGGAGAGACTCGGAGTAGAACCGCTGCTCCTCCACATCGAGAGGAGCCAGCTGAGGTGGTTCAGGCATCTAGTAAGGATGCCCCTGGGTGCCTACCTAGGAAGGTGCTTCGGGCATGTCCGACTGGGAGGAGACCACGTCTACATCTCTCGGTTTGCTTGGGAACAAAACCTCCTAGGAGGACTGGAAGAGGTGGCTGTGGAAAGAGATATCTGGGCCTCTCCGCTCAAGCTGCTGCCCCCGCAACCCGACTTCAGAACAAGCGAAAGATAATGGATGGATGGAACGGCATCGCATTGTCATATTCATAGTTCATCATTATTGAAAATAAAACGAAGATAATGCCCACCAAAACTGCTGCATCAAGCTACAACTAGGCGACAAGTTGAGTGTGCTACCTGAAGCTGTAACGTCTGGTAGACTTTTGCTTCTAGTTTCTTTCCCGATTGTTCCAGCTCTTCAGCTAAAAAACAAAATAAGATTCAATGATTAATACACATGGAAGCACACAAAATACTTTTGAATGGAGCATCTCACATTTTCTTTACCTCTTTGTTTGAGTGTAGAAGCCAGAGGGAGGAAATAGGAAGTGAAGAACCCAAGGCGAGTGTTCTTCACGTGATCGCGTATGGTGGGGATCAACCAGCTGCGCGGGAACTCCAGGTCGTCACTGAAACAAGAGAAAAAAAAACTTTTTAAAGCACAATACCAACAAAAGGAGCACAGGTCCATGTATGAGTCCTTACTTGATGCCGGTGATGTTGAGAGGCACCGCAGCCAGCACCACCTCAGGGCCCATGCTTTCCACAGCTGCTCCCACAGCCAGGTCCAACTCACCACTGTAGGGGAACTGAGGAGTGGAGCGCAGGTCTGCCAGAGACAGCAGCGACTGTCCCAGACACCACACGCACACACAATGGTTCAGCTAAGTTTTTAAGTATATATAAACGGTGATGATAATGTTTCACATCTATACCTTGGTCATGATGGTGTGAGCTTGTTTTCCTGCAACTCGATAAAAGCAACCAAGGACCTGCAACACAAAGGGCCAGGAGGCGTGGAAGCGGTACGATAACCCCTCCTCTACGATACTGAAAACAGTCAAAACACAACCATCACGCAATTTTCCTTTTTCTTAGAAAACTGATACGATCTTGCCACACGGTTAAGTTATACCGAAACATTTTGCAGACATATGAGGGGTTCCCTGCAGAAGAGTTGGTGGTGATCATCCCCATTTCCTCCATGTGAGGGGCAACACATTCAGTCAGTAAAGTCTGGGGGAAAAAAAAAAGACTAAGAATCCATAAATACTCCAAGTCTCACTCTTCTTAACTCACCTTGGATGTTTTTTTACCTTCAGTGTGTTGGCGGCTGTAGAAACCACCTGTGTGTGTGGTGACAACAGGCAGGACATGGTGGTAGAGAAGAGACGAGGGAGGTGACCCAAACTCAGAGAACTCTGCAAACTGCACAAAAAAAACACATCTCATTAACAATCTACTGACTACATTGAGTACTGTACTTTTCATTGTATAGGTCAAACCTTTATGCATAAATTGGCATGCCCTGCGACTTATACACTGAAGCGACTAATACAGATTTTTTTCTCATATTTAAAACACAAGGGGCAGCACGGTGGCGCAACTGGTAGAGCTGCTGCCTCTCAGCGAGCAGGTCCCTGGTTCAAACCCAAGTCCAGGGGCCTTCTGGGTGGAGTTTGCATGTTTTCTCCGTGCATGCGTGGGTTTTCTCCGGGTACTCCGGTTTCCTCCCACAGACCAAAAACATGCATGTTAGGCTGATTGGTAACTCTAAATTGTCCCTAGGTGTGAGTGAGAGAGTGAATGGTTGTTTGTCTCGTTTGTCTCTATGTGGCCCTGTGATGGACTTGCGACCCGTCCAGGGTGTACCCCGCCCCTCGCACAGTGATTGCTGGACATGGGCACCAACGACCCCCGTGACCCAAAATGGAATAAGCGGGTAAAGATAATGGATGGATGAATGGATGGATTTATAACACAAATTTGGCTGAGATCTGACGATTTCATTCAATCGAACATAAAAAATATTGAACACTTCCATTTTCAGCCGCTAGAGGGCCCTTGAGTCATATAGCAAGCCCAAGTGTCTCATTAATAGGTAAAAGTGGCTATTAATGAGACACTTGGCTTGCCATACCAAGCCACTTTCATTTCGCTGCATAACTCCTGGAGCAAACAACAAATCAGCCGCATTTTGCCGAGTCACCCAGGCGAAATGCAACTGATTTGACCATTAAAGTGCATTTATTAAGGAAAAGTTCAACTGAGACACACCTTTACTATAATATCGAGCTAACAAATAATTGTTCTTAGGTGTTAAATCTTGTTAAATTTCAAAGAAATGCACAGCGAGTCCTCCCACTGAGTGCTCTCGCAGTCGCGAATCTAATTTTGAAATGCAGCTGATTTTACCGTTAATTGCATTTATTAAGGAAAAGTTCAACTGAGACACACTTTTGCTTTAATTTCAAGCAGACAAATAATTGTTTTTAAGTGTTAATCTTGTTCATTCTTGTTAAAGTCCTCCCGTGCACGCTCCCGCGGCCACCATTTGGCAACCAATGGATTTTTGGCACAACACCAGCCCAAGTATCTGGGTGGTCAGCGGTGACGCGTAATAGATGCGACTTAAACGGCGAAGCAACGCATTTATGTTTTTCCCCACTTTATTAAACATATTTGGACTGATGCGACTTATACGGCGGTGCGACGTGTTTGGCGGAAAGTACAGTATCTATTATTGTGTTATCATAAAATCCATATTAATACCTTGCGAGATTTACATGCGCTTTCTCCATGACAGCAAGCCAGGCCAGCAGAGGCTGCAGGTCGTTCTCACTGGGAATGTAATCATACAGCGCCTGCAGATGATAAATGAGTTTACATATGAAGTATTACACTAAAATTAAAACATGTTTTTTGTTCTTGTAATGTCTCACCGTGATGATCTGTGCGTTGAGTTCAGCTGAAAGGGACGACGGATTCGGCTTCCCACTGAACAGCTTGTGAAACGCCTGCATGGCACAGGCCGTCACCAGCTGCAGCCAGAAACACAGCAGACTTGTCACTTCAAAAACCTCACATCAGGTATCCGTGTAGCGAAGCAGAATGTATCGTTCTGCACCTATAAATACTTTGGTGTTCTCACCACATGGCTGAGAGTCATCACTCGCAGCAGAGTTTCACAACAGGACTTGACGGACCCCAGAGGGAATGTTCCCATCAACTCCTTTAAGAGGGAAAGCACATGAAGTGTGGTGGTGTCCTCTTTACTGCCTGACAAGAAAACAACACAAAAACATCTACAATTTTTAGACAACCATGCAATCAAAACATTTACTTCATTAAAAGAAGCATATAAGGACGTCAAGTCTTAACGTTTTTGGAACAATTTAAAAGTTTCTTGCAGCCTCCGCTGGTAGTTTTTGACATTCTTAAGAGTTTTCTAGAAATCTTCATCACATCTCCTGTAAAAAAAACAATTCATATTTATTTTTTTTCTATCTATTATTTTTGTGTTCTGTGGTCATTAGCTCTTTAAAAACACAAGTGTGACCCCAAAATAAGTTTTCTGATTCTGGACGTTTACATTTTGGTGCAAAGTGCTACAATATTATTCATTATTTTTTTATTTTTTTTATATATTGCCTTTACTTAACTGCAAAGAAGGGGAATATATATATATATATATATATATATACATATATACACACACACACATATATATATACACATACACACAAGGGTGTTTTAAACCCTTCCCACACTCTTGCAATGTTCTAAATTGTTGTTAATCGTTTCTAAACTGTAAACGCTCTTAAAGAGCACAGAATGTCATGATTTCAGCTCCCTGCCGCCACTGCTTTTTGCCACCCGCAAGCGCTCTTGGCCACGCCCACTTCTCAGCTGTGCACAGAGAACATCTGATCAGCTGTTTACCTGCAGCAGGAATTTTATCCTGCAATAAGTGCTGCACAAAGGTGCAAGAGGAAACTTTTCCTGCAGCTCTGGGCTGAACAAATGTGCAGCAGGTGCTAAATATATATATTTTTTAATTAAAATTCCATGCCGATTGTGCGGCTCATCCATCAATCAGCCAATTGTGCGTCATGTCCAATCTTATTTTGAAAAACCGCTATATAGAGTCCATATATATATATACACACACACACAATAATAAACTACTACTGTTTCTACTACTGCTACTATGACTACTGCTGCTACTACTACTACTACTAATTCTTTGCTGTTTTTCACTTATCACGGGGGGCCAGGAAACGGAACCCCCACGATAAACGAGGGCCTACTCTACACAGTAAATAGTGCTGCATCCTTTTTTCCAGTCCTACAACAGCTGAGATGCCAAAAGAGCTGACAGTGACAGAAAAGACTGGCGATCTTTAACTGGTAACAGTATTTATTAATAAATAGAATATCTTGCAAAAAGATCTGAAGCTCTCGACCTTGACCTTTTTAATGCCCCTTTTCCACCACTCTTCAGCCCTACTCTGCTCAGCCATGCTCAGATCAGCTCTTTAGGTTGTTTCACACCTGATAGTCCGGTAGACTCAGTTCGGTTGGGAACCAATATTCATGACCTTTTGTTTACATTTGAGCTGGTGCGTTTGCATTCACACTGCACTGTGCAGTCGAGCCAACCTGTTCGAACCAACCTGTTCCCCCACTCGCCTGTGGTGGCGCTGCACCAAGAACTACTGAAAGAAACAACACAAAAAAAACCTCTGAAGACACTTCTTCTTCTTCTGGAAATAAAAACAAAAACGGAGTGGCATCAAATTTTAGCGGTTTTAGGATTTCTATTTGGCCTATTTCAACAATGGACTCAGCATGAGTGGAAGATGAGGCAGAAAACCATGGAGAATGTTGTTTTTCCACACAAGCAAGCTGACAGCTCCATATGAGGTAAGAGAAATGCGTGTTTGTTTGCCCTGTGCTGTACTCCACTTCTTGCTTGTGGAACAGTGCCCAGTCTGATTGCAATCACACTGTACTCAAACCGCGCTCGAGTTTTCTTCTACCGGACCGAGACCTAGGTTTTAGACCAGGCCAGAGTTCGTCTTTTTGTTCCATGACAGAGTTCGATAGAGTTCACACCTCCCCAAACGAACCGGACTTCCTAGGCAAACGGGTTAGAGTTCGGGACAACAGGGCTAGTGTGAATGCGCCCTCAGTGGCTTTAAACATCTGTTAAGTTACTGGCAAAAAACAATGCAGACATGTTCCTGTTTTTAGTTTTCTACACCGCCTTATAATCTAGCTGGGGTTTTTTTTGTTTTTTTTTTTTGGGTGGGTGGGGTGGGGGGTGGGGGGGTTTCGCTAATTTTCTTTTTGGTTGCCATTTTGTTTTGATTTGTCAAAAAAAAAACAACATTTAATTTGTATGCCTCTTCTGTGACTGTCTATTGTTGTCGTTGTTATCCACTGTTGTCATCACTCTTTGCTAAGAATCAGGTCTCTCTTGTAAATGAGTCCCCGAGGCTCAGTGGGATTAACCCTTATAAATAAAGGTTGAATGAATGCAAAATGAACAACTTTCACTAAATATGCAAACTTAAGTTTATTCCATGTCTGCAAATTTCATTTTCCTACATGAACATTTTTAATTATGTTTTGCACGACTTTTTTTGAAAAATTAAAATGCTTTAAAACCATTTCTGGATTTTGTTGTCGTTTGTTAAATTTATGCGAGTATTCTAAATGTTGCCTTTATTTGAAAGTGCTAACAATTCTGACAAGTATGGGCACAAACTCTAGTCATATATATTTTGTGCTTGTAAATCTGAATGTATAGTGAATAAATTACACACTGTCTTATCTATGATGCACAAAGATGCAATTCTCACACATTTTGGTTTACAAGGTGCACAACATATGCACAACTACACATTCTGATTTACAAGCACAAAATAGATAAGACTGGAATTTGTGCCCGTAGACCAGGAATTGTTTGATGCCTTACCTCCTGCCTGTTCCATTTGTTTGATGCAGAACTTAGCTGTTGTAACTGCAGCAGGGTGATATGGTGGAGCATCATCTGTAAACAGGAAGTCGCTGCCTCTGAGGACAGAGCAAACACCTTGCTGTGCTGCTTTACGGAGCTGGAAAAAAAAATAAGCGCAAAACACTTCAGCATGAATGCAACTAGGGAGAATAATGCCAGAGGTATACAGAAAGCTTCTGCTCATGCAAGCTTAGAAAACAAACCTTAGGCTTGCTGTGCACTGTGAAGCTGAGCAGGCCATGATAAGCCTGCAGAGTAGATGGATAACTCCAAACCGATAGATCCTGCTTTCTCAACAAAGTGGCAAGGCATAACACAATCTACAGAGGCAAAGAAAACAAAGAAATATCTTTGGAAAGGTTTTTCATAAATAAAACGCTGAGAAATATTCCTAAATGTTCTCACCCATCGAAGTGCAGAAGAGGCGTCAGATGTGGCTTGTTTAGACATGACATCGATCAGGGCCTTGGCTGTGTCCGAGAACTTGTTCTTCAGCACAGGAGCAGGAACTCTAGAGAATGCCAAACACAGAGCAGTTAAAAAAATGTGTTTACAGGAATAAAAATAAATAGATATGATGCGTCTGGGCGTTCTGCTGAGAAGAAACAAGGACACAAATGTTTTACCGTTTCATGACGAGGTTAAGGAGATATGCCACTGCGGTCTGAGACTCTGCAGAATCCACGACTTCCAGGGTCGTCATCTAACAAAGAAAACGCACGCAAAACAAGAAATCTTATTATTATCTGACATAAACCCTAAATGAGATATAAATTTTCAAAAATAATTAGAATATTTATTCAATTGGTAGAGGCAACACTCACCAAAGCAGCAAAGTACTCTGTTTCAGTTTCTTTCCCTCCCTGACTTCGAATCACCTCCGTAACAGCTGCCAAAACTGCACATATCTGTGAATAATGTTACAGTTTCAGCTACAAGCAAACATTATCAGAGAGTCAGAGATTCTTTATAGTCGTTTGCACCACATGTGGTACATGTATTTATTATCTGCAACGTTTTTATGTCTATATTCTGATTTTACTTCATTTTGTATAGTTGTGTATATATATATGTTGCCTGTTTTTTCTGTTTGTACAGCACTTTGGTTGGTCTTGTTGCTGTTTTAAGTGCTCTATAAATAAAACGGTATGGTATGGATGTGGTACATCTTCCATTAGATCTCCCATAAGTACAGTTCTCACCTCTTTGTGAGCAGCTGAGTTGGACTCCCAGAAGCGCTGCACCTTTCTGAACGTGAGGTTTGAGCAATCAGACAAGCCACTGAGGAAGGTGGCCGAGGTTCTTTCTGAAAGCTTCTCATCAATCTCCTCTTCCATGAAGGCATCTTTATGGTCGCGTGCACTGAGCTCCAGCGGACCTGCCTGCAGCTCATTGTGAAGCTTGAGAGCGTCGGTGGTTAGATCACTCTTTCCTGGGGAGGGGAGTATAATTAATGTTGACTAGATCAAATTAAATGTATGATTAACTATAAAATACACCTTCATGCTGCCATTCTGTCTCAATCTGGATTGATGTAATAGTGGGATTTAAATGAAACTATTTCAAATTAATTTTTTTATGTAACCTTGACAAATGTTGAACTTTAAAAAAAATGAATAAATAATCTTTATGAAAGCCTGGAAAGAATGAAGAAGTGAAGCTGTTGACATCCTTTAACCATCATAACACATAAATAAACTGGGCTGTGATCAGTGGACATCTGTGCACTTGTAAATATAACTTATATGTATTGTTTTTGGTTTTATATTTATTAACAGAAGCCAAAAACATGTAGTCGTATTGCGTTTATTTACAAACTTTTATGTTTTGTTATTGCCTTCCAAGAAAGTTAGCAACCATATTAATCAAAACAATTTTGATCAAGATAAATCCAGTTCTTGTTGAGAACATGACACTTCGCTTTAGATAAACTGTTAGTGAGTAATTGATTTAAGTTATTTTGGACTAGCGCAAATTTAAATGGCTAAAGCTAGTTGATGTTAGCTGCAGAGCCAGAGACCCACGTGCGACTTACCGCTGGGTCGGCTGAAGAAGCGGCTTTTCGCAGCTTGTCGAAAACGATTCGTCTGCGGGTTGGAGTCGCTACTGTGACCTTTCTTCCATCGTTTGAGCTTGGACCCCGTCCCGGACCGAAGCTTTCCCGATTTGACCATTTTCGGGGTTGAAAATGATTCAGGTTGCTGGCTGACCAGGTGACTCTGTCGCTCTCAAGATGACGTCATGAGTAAACTTGTTCCCTTTTGGCCTGGAGAGGGCGCTGTTCACCACAAACACGAACTTTGCGGTCGAAGTTAACTTGAGCAAATGCATGTTTAACAATTGTCTAATTTTTTATATAAAACTTTAAATACAACTTTTATTATATCAAGCTGAATATATTTAATTCGGCTTTATTTTAACATATCTCGGAAATAGATTGCTTACCTTTTAACCGAGACAATTTACAAATTAAAGCATTTTTTTTCATACAAAGCCCATATAATTAGGATTTTTACTACATTACAGAAAATATGGACAAAATTTCCAAGCACAAATGAAATTCCAAAGTGTTGCTTGGTTGTCAAAACAAAATTTTGACAATCACACGCACAGCATTGAGATTTTCTGTTGTTACAAATAAAACAATTAAGGAAGGTTCTCATTGCAAAGCATGAAATTAATTGTACTAAAGCTACCCTAATCTATATCAAATGATACAGTTTGACAAAGTAGTTTGCCAAATATAATGAATTCTGTTATGTGGATCCAACTTTAGTGTATATAAAGCTTTCCACTGAACCCACAGAAAACCACTTGAAAGACAAGACCATAATCTCGTGTATATATATATATATATATATATATATATATATATATATATATATATACATATATATATATATATAGTTTGCAATGAGTCATTTTAAAATCAAGGAGACATGAAAAGTTGCACTTTTATCCAAAAAAAAGTTAATCGCATTGAAGAATAAGTCTAATCCAACTTTTCCATGAATAATTAAAAGTGATGGAAATATTATGTTACAATAAACCGTCACAAAGAAGATTGGTTTGGGGTGAATATTTATTTAAGTTGCAATAAAAACGTGAATAAATAATCACTGAATGGAAACAATTCTATTCTAGTTGTCCAGTGAACTTCCTAAAAATTTGCTAAACATCAGACTAAACGGAAGCCGTTTGGTGCTACGTGGTAGTCTCACACTTTTATTTTACGTTTTCTTTTATGTTTGCTGCTTTTCTGTAGGTTTTACAGTAAATTGTTAAAGCCATGGCAGAGTTCAAAGCATGTGAAAAAGGCTTAAAACTCAATCATCACAAAAATGTGAACTTCATGACTGCATTAGAAAAAGCAAATTACTTTAATGTTACAATATGTATTGAGAAGTTATAATTAAATTGAGCATCATCTTGCACACAAAACTACAATTTGTCTGCACAAACTGTAGTTTGTAGTCCATCACTCTTAGAGTGGTGCAATAACAACAAACTTATCATTTTCCACCTTAAAAACAGGTTCCTTCGTTATATTCGGAGCAACTCACACAGTCACATGACAGAACAGCACACATCTAACCTGATATGTCTCGATAGTTCTCCTTCTGTTTGTCGAAAATAAATAAACAAATAGCCACGGAACAAAAGTAGTGGATTTTCCTTATGTGGACCCCCCCGTGTTTAGTTCATCCACAAGCACAAATACAGAACGACGAGGAGAGGAATCCATGTAAACAATAGAGCTGCATGTTGAGGTCTTCAGAACAAAACACACTGGGTTGTGCATCTATTGTTACGCTAAAGTGTTTCAGTGCTTTTTCATTATTATTTTTAAATTTTGGGGGAAAAAAAGGAACAATAGAAAAAGGAGTAATATAAAAGCAACCATTTCTTATAGAAAATGTACACAGAATTCCACGGCTGCGCCAGCTGGAAACTGATACCAGGTCCTGTTCCTGCAGCCGTCTCTGGCACTTCCTTCATCTTTTCTTCACTTCAGATCCTCGCTCCCCCTCCAACCCTCTCAGTTAGTTATGACTGAGGGGTTTATGTTGACTATCACTTGGACAACAAAGTCCTTCTGGATCTTAGCATCTTGGAGACGAGTTTTGTCGGTCAGGAGCTTTCCAGAGAAAAACCACCGCTGACGGGCCACGTCGATGTCCTCCTGTTCTTCCAGCTGTTTCTTCAGCTCTGCGATGGAGTCCGCCATGCTGGCTGTCAGACGGACATCCTGCCCTAAAACAAGGAGTTGATACGGATTACTGAACAAGCCGTTATACGTTTAATAACTACCCGCTTTGATGTGATGCGCTGCAACATCCCATCTAGGAGCATGCTGTTCTTTTAATAAACATAAATTAAAGGAAAATAAAAGTCACACGTGCCAAGACACATCACTGTGATGCTCATTTCAGAATGATCTTATGTTCTGTACGGTACAAGACATAACAGGACACCAAGTTGTTTCAAATGATCCAGTTTTACCAGCTAAAGCCAGACTGATTTTTTCAAGTTTAAGAACATAAAGGAGCTCGCTAACCCAGCTCGCTAACCCAGCTCGCTAACCCAGCGCTGCAGAGTTCCATTTTAGCAGAGTAACTGAGGGTGGCACGGTGGTGCAGATGGTAGAGCTGTTGCCTCTCAGCAAGAAGGTCGTCGGATTGAATCCTGGCTGGGGACCTTTCTGGGTGGAGTTTGCATGTTCTCTCTGTTCATGCATGGGTTTTCTCCGGGTACTCCGGTTTCCAGACAAAAAACATGCATGTTAGGCTGATTAGTAACTCTAAATTGTCTGTAGGTGTGAGTGAGAGTGAATGGTTGTTTGTCTCATTTGTCTCTATGTGGCCCTGTGATGGACTGGAGACCTGTCCAGGG